ATATTAAGCTAGTTTCTTTTTTACTTTGCATTGTATTATTATAATGTGTTTAATATTGTGTTTAATATTCAAAGAGAGAGAAGGAGTTCTACTTTTAGATTACTTAAATTTTGTAATAGATTTTATATCACATATGTCTCTTCCATTAGTCTGAATTTTTTATTGTTTTGAAGATATGAAAGAGAATATAGATAGATTTGCTTATACTAACGATTAATGTTGTTTATAAACATTGGTTTAACAAAGATTGCATTAATTTTAAATATGATAAAGAAAAATTTTATATTGAGCAAATGAATCTCATTTGTCACTAAAATATTGCAAGCCAATTGATTGGGTGTCTATTTGCATTATATGCACAATGTATCTAAGATATTATTTAATAGCATTTAATAATATGAAATGGTGAACACAACCATTGCCCTTTATCATTTCTTGTAGGACATTCAATTACATAACAACTGCAATCAACAAAGAAGGAGATGACAACTTAAATGCTTATAGTAAGTGTACCACAAAAAAATATTGTGAATGCACTACGCAAAATAAATCCTAAAAATTGAATTATTATATGTAATATTTGTAGTGAGTGTCATAGATTGAATCAAATTGTTCTTGATGACTATGCTTCTATTGTCTCACTTATAAAAACCTTGTGTGATGGTGCATATTTATTTACTTATCAATATAATGAAGAGAACAAGGTAACATTTTATTTTTTTTGTACATGCAAAATGTGTCGAGTTAGCAAAAAAAATACACAACTTCTTTTATTATGGATTATACTTATAAGACAAATTGATTCAAAATGCCTATATTGCATATAGTAGGAATAACTAGCTTAAATATTTCTTTCACAAATACTATTGCATTTGTTAAAGAAGAAATAGAAGTATTTTTTTATCAAACCTTGATTCAATTTATTCAATTGTATGGAAATATTTGATTCATTTGCATTTGGTTTGATAGAGATTTGGCATTAGTAAATGCTATTGAAAATATTTTTCTTACTTCTAATGTTTTACTTTGTGTATGGAACATTCAAAAAAATATTTTAGTAAACTATAAGAAGTATTTTGCCATAGAGATAGAATTAGATTGGTCTACATTTATGCTAGATTGGACCAATGTGATAAGTGCTTCTATTGAAATATTTTACAATAAAAAAATAGACTATTCTTTCTACTAAGAATATTCTTATTAACTCTCATGCAATTGCTAAATAATATTGAATTACTACCCTTCCTGTAACAAGAAAAAATGAATATTCAATTGTTGGAGCTTGCATCAACAAATATGAAATTAGAAAATCCAACAATTAGTTGTTTAAGAGACAAACTGCATGAAGTAGCGAACTCTAAAATACAACAAATCTTCTACACAATGTAGAGCTTCACAATTTGAAGTTGTTAAAGTGGCAACATATGCTTGACATTGCAAAAATTGCCAAGGTTAGAGACACAATGTATGCAATTGTCATACCTATCATATTTTAACTTTACAAGTATCTATAAATATATTATAATTATAATAAAATAAATAATAGCTATATGCACTTGCTTATTTAAACAATATATTAGCTTATATGCAAGTGGTGAGAAATTAATTTGTTTAATAATATGAAGAGGGATTTATAATCATGATTGTGCAAGACATATACTTCCAATTTTTGCACAAATTGACATATATCTAAGTTATTCAATAGATTTAGAGTAACATTCATAAACATATGTTCAATCTTTAAATAAAACATGGCATTACAAAAACATGTACAAAATAAGATCCACACTCTTCATTTGCATTGATTAAATAATCCACTGGTGCCATTGGTTCTACCATTTTTTTTCTTATTGCTGCTTCCAACCCGAGCTACATCTTCATTAAGGCTTTGAACATAAAAGCAAAAAAAATCATTGAACAGGTTTAACAACCAGCACATCAAAATTAAAATTATGATAGATATTAGCAACAATCATCGGTTTGCACACTATGGCTGTTGATACAAGTTCATTGCATCACTAACATCAACGGCCAAAGAACGCAAAAAAATTCAAATTGGATTACAAAAGCATACTAAAGAACAACGTTGAATACAATTCCGACAACTTTAGGAAGAAAAATGGCAACTTAATGTATTACACTCAATGTACTTAGTCAGCCCCTCTAAGGTGCTCTTCAAAAAAAAAACAAAAAAAAAAACAAAAAAAATCAAGTAAAAAACGAAAAAGAAATGATGCAATCAGCACGTTTTCTTGCTCCACATGTTGAACACAAATACAAAGGATTCATGTGGGCTTGGACATTACAAACTGTGCTTTCTACCCATTCAATTTAGTTGCAAAAATTGTAAAAATTATGAAGAAACAGGACTCACTAAAAGCTGAGTGGCTTGTTCTACAAGGGTGAAAATCATCAACATCATCAACTGTTGTTTGGCCACAAAGAACTGCTTCTAGTGTTAAAGATAACAAATGAATTAGCCAGCATTCCATGAAGACTTTAAAACAGAACAAGAACTACGTCCATCAAACCTCAGAGATGATAACAATGTTTAATAAATTGTGTAAAAAAGTTTAACCGCAAGTAGAGTTGTTTTTTCTCACCTAGAAGAGCGACAATTGTTGTTGAATCACCTCTATCTGGATCACCTGAGAATTACTAGAAGAGTATCAATAGTTGAGCAAAGACTAGTCATCTAGAAAAAGAAAAAGAAAAATCCTCCGAATGCAAGTTCCTTCCAATTGTACGTTTAGGAATAAAGATCACATCAAAGTTAACACAAGCTAATTCTCGACCATTGTCTCAATAGTTGCAGAATCTCTTCCCTCTTGGACGATTGGAATCCATCAATCTTAATCTCGTGATGCAATAGACGGCTACCAGCTTCAAATTAGTGCGCTGCAGATCTTATTATCTGCTCTAGTCCTTCCCGTTTGGGCATCCAAACCCAGCTTAGTAATATTGTGCACGTGAACTAGCATTGAATGAGTTGGGCGTAGGGGGACTCAAAAGATCAAATATGCTTTGCACAGTGGTGACAATGACGGAAACTGTGATGTGTCCATAGCAAGAGAGCCAAGTGGGCAGGAATACTGGCCGATAACAAAAATGGTCTCGCAACGAAGAAATGAGACACAATTTGAGATGTTTGAGCATGAGCCTCGAAGAAATCAAGTAGTGGGAGCCGGTCGCAGCAGCCGGGCCCTCCTCGCCATGTGCTTGCCATCGCCATCTCCCTCCGTCCTCTCCTGCCCCGATCAACGAGCTTGCCATGGTACTTGCAGAGCATATTTTCCTGCAAAATTCACAATTGCTGCTTGTTAATTCCACATGCCTGACAAGGTTACAACGCAGACATATTTCATTCGTTTACGCACTCCATCAGCTTTTGCAACTAACTGTTTTTGTATCTCAAAGTCTCAACAAGATCCAACTTAGATAAAAAAAAAAAAAAAAAAAAAACCAAACAACACTTTTTCGAGAGCACAACGTACACTCAACATTATAATGTAAAGCAACGAAAGTAATCATATTGAATAAGGGTTGCAACAAATGATGGATCGAAAGAGCTTGTATGCTTGAAAATGATAATGGCAACTGTAGATCTTTCTTGGCTCCCTTTGAAACAAAAAACTAGGATTTTTCTGCTCGAGGGTTCGGTGGCCATTATTGCAAGATTGACAAAGATTAGGGTTTTAATGAATGTAGTTAGTTTTTATTGGTTGAGGATCCAATAGTAGAGAAATGAATCTCGATGTCATTTTTTTTCATGATGATTAGGATGGGTGGATTGATTTAATAAAACCTTGGATTATTTTAACATTTTCTTATATATGTATATATATATTTATTTATTTATTTATTAGAAGATTCAAGAAATAGATATATGCCAAACTAGTTAGTGACTATTACAAATAATTATTTTTTGAAATTGTTTTCAAAGTACAACTTCTCTACAATGTTACTTAGTAATTACAAATTACTTCAAATATGTAAAAATCTTTTCTGGATTGGAAATGCTAACATCAAATTTTGATTTTTGATTACAAAAGAATTTTTTTAGCATGCCAACAAGAAATTAAAAACATCATAATGAAAGAAATTAAATGGAAAAGAAGCAAACCCAAAAAAATTTATTGCACTGGTATGATCTTAAATTAACTCAAAATAGAGTCTTTTTAACAGTAAATAACCATTAGATGAAAAAAAAAAAAAAAAAAAAAAAAAAAAAAAAAAGGCTCAAAACAATGATTTCTTCATAGAATGAAAACTGTAATTAAAAAAACTGAAGACATTGAAGTATCTTCAAAAAACAAAAGACTTTGTATATATTCTAAATAATAAATTTGATGGTCTTTTCAATAGTTTGGCAAGACCATTCAAATCAGTTCTTCACCATGGACCAACAGTTGAAGCCAAATATTGTTTCAGTAATAGCCTCATGAAATGTAGTTATTTCGTAACGAACCAATAAGTTTCTTGGAAATTGAAGGTACATCATCAAAATGATTCTTATTAAATGATATAAGTTGAATTACAATGAAAACGGGTCAAACTAGCAGGTAAAGTGAAATCTGGACACATTATAACAATACTATAATTTTCATAAAAGAAATTTGAAAAAAATCACAAAAAGGATTTGCACTGCACATGAAAGGAAAGATAGCATATGGAGGTCATCTATTTCAATTCCAAAACCAGGCTTGGCCTCTATGCTCACAAACAGAATAGCACTGGCTGTTTTTTCACAAAAAGGAAGTTGCGTCTGCATTATTGACTACAATTAACTGTTTACCATAACAATAATCACTCATTGTGACACCCCATTATATCTTCGAACCCAGAGCACGGCTTTTGAAAAAACACACGTTCATAAGCAAAGGTGACCTGCAAAGGCTGATTACCGTAAAAGGCAGCCGTCTGGTTCTGAATTACTTGCAATTTCTTAAACATGCTGATACTCTCGCAGACATTAAAGGTCTGGTTGAAAGGTCCTTCACTGCATTCCACACAAATGACCAATACAAAGACAAATATGTTGAATTCGGAATAAGTTTACAAAACTTATGAGTTTGAATTACGTAGATTTGAAGTCGATTCGGGTCTAATATCAAATTCAGTGAATGCATTCCCTCTTGTTTTGATCCCTATGTGTCCTGAACTAGCTGTGCAGATTGGTCTTTATCAAGAGAAGCGTGCGCTGTTCAATGACACTATGTAACGCTGTCGGGAAGCCCAAAAATCACTAATGGTCTCCAACTGTGGCGGGCGAATCTGCCAGCTCTGAAGGTGCAATCATCGAAGAACCTCGAGTTTAGGTTCCTTTCCCGTCTTTAACTTTACCGATCCTGCAACCAAAGGAAATAAACATTAACGACAGATAATCGCATTAAATTCCATCCACAAATTACTCTTGTTCATGTTACGGGAATTGATGGATGGTAACTTCACGTGGAAAATACCCTTAACATTACGACGTATGCTTCGAAATACCAGTTAGATTCATAGTTTGTTCATCACCTTATCCAGGAAGCCATTACGCGCTTCATCAAAAGAATTAATCAACATCCTGGATACCCTTCATGGGAGATCCAGATACTTTTGAATCTTCCTAGTGTAGGAGGCACTCAATAAAGAAATGCACATAATTGCATCATTTTGAGATGCTCCAAACCATAACGCGGATAGTTAGCTCCCACACTACGCAAATGATCTCTTAAAAAAATACACATAAGTCGGGAAACAGATCCTCACCTAAAGCAATGGATGCCAAGTGCCTCTGTGATCTCGTGAATAACACTTACAACAAAGTGGCCGTAGAGACAAACTGCAAGTTTTACAACATCACAAATCTTATTATAGTAGGTCGTCACGAATAGAATGTACTTTCGAAGAGAAATACAACTCAAAAAACAACGTCTAAAACACAAAAATCTAGACCCAACTGTAATGCGAGTTGTAAAACTTCACCCACTCCTAAAATTGTCCTCTAGCTATTTATGGTAGGAAACAATCACATAAATGAGCAACGCAAACTAAACTGAAACAAAATGAATCATACCTGTAAAAGCACAGTACCCAACCAAGACCCAAGTCTCGTCCACGAGAGGTTTACTGCACCCCAATTCCGAACAAACCTTATCATACTTAAACAAGAGTTTTAATATTTTTACTTATTTGAAATTTAGATCACGACAACTTTCTTTAAAAAAACAGAATTGACAACATATTCTCATGTACATCAAACTCAACTACAAATCAGGGCATTCAACAGCACAACACTATTGTTCGCAAGCTCATAATAATATTGACCGTGACAAATCCACACCAGTTCAGTCCAATACAAAGGTCAATGACACTCACCCCTCAAAGAACGTCGCTGATAAAGCATTGCTAATCGCAAAAGGCAGGTACAATAAAGCCTGTTTCAACAAGATATCGATTAGCCAGCCTTCTCTAATGCAGGTTAGCTTACCCACCTCTACTCATAAATAATCATCCGCATTGAATAAAGTGAGACAATGGACGCTTTCTCTTGATATTAGCCAGTATCTCCTAGTGAACAAGACAGCATGACAAATACGTGATGTTGGACTATGCGATTTAGGTTTAAGAACGGCGACGTACCGTGCACATTCCAGTCTTCAAACCCTTGGGTTCATCACACAAGTGAGCAAGAATTAGCCGACCCTGCAAGTCAAAATACAAACAGCCACCGCAGCAATTATGAGATAACCCATTGCATTCAGTCCTCCGTTCTCACAATAGTACCCAGAAGTATGCAACATACAATCTACCAAAGCAGACAGAAACACAAAATAAATCTCCTTGTGCAGCAGTCAACTATCGTTAATAAAGAGAGCATACAACAAGCACCGTACCACTAGGTAGGCGAAAGCGAATCCAGTTCCCATCATGAGCAAATGTGGTTGAAATCTGAAGATGTCGGAAGGTGATACCCAACCCCTGCACGAAAGAGTAACATCTGACCCTGACTTAGCGGACATTCACTTAACCAAGGCATAGTCAGAAATTATCCAAAAAAAAGTATCATTAAAACACACTCTTTCTTCACAATCACAAATTTACTATTCTGCTAACACGTTGGCTTGCACGTTTTCCATTTTCCAAAAAGCACTTAAAATATGGAACACAAAGTACCCAAGAAAGTGACGTACCAGAAAATAACTGATCCTACAAGTGTCCAAAAGGGAAAGAGCTGCAGGAAAGATCATGCAAGGATGAAATATCATACAATGAAGTCAGCTTCGATGGAAAACGATAGACAAACAAGAAAAAAGGACAAAAAATAAAAAGAAGGTGCAACCAATATTCAGAGTAGTTTCATTTCAATTCGAGCACGTCATACGAAAAAATCACAACAGATTCCAAATTGAATGACTCCTGACCACCAACAATCATATCTAAATAAAAGCATCTGGAAAGAAAGGTAACGTAAATTACCATGGCCAAGGCATTCCTAAAGCTGGAACCTCTTCCCCTCACCACTTTGTGTACGTTCACAAAACTACAACAAAACTTAAATCAGTCCCAGTTTACAACAATGAGAAGCACATTCTTAAACTGAACTCAATATCCAGAAAATATGAATCTATAGGTGGTTAGAAATTCATACTTGTAACCCACAGTGGGGGTAACAGCCACCGCCATCATTAAAAAGATGACCAACACAGTTACAGATACGTCTACATATTTTACACAAACGAGAAACTAGTTAGATGTAAATCGCAAAATACCAAAATCACTTGCAACAATAGAAATTAAGCTCCAACATCATAACGTCATCTCATGACGATCCTTAAATCTTACCTGGAATGAACGAAATCATACTCAGACCTGGAACAACCTTCTTAACACTCTGTGTCCACCACGTTGGACCTGCGCCCATTACCAAAGATTATAACCATCGAAAGCACAAATCTCAAGATTCTAACACAGCTTATACACCGCAAAGTTGGAGTAAAAACGTAAAACCAGTATTAAGGCAGCAAAACTGGAAAACTCTTGGTAGGTGAAGAATCAACAGAACGACAACGAACATGACAGAAGAATTTGTACCAACAATTCCCGTAAAGATGTGGGCACAGTAAATAAGCATCAGCCCTTCAGTTGGACCGTTGATTTCTGGAAGGATGAGTGTATCTGTGAAGTAACTGACACCCGACACCCGACACCCATCAGTAGAATGTCACTTGAAGAATCAGAACATATTCAGTATGTCTAAAACTTGAAAACTGCCATTTTTGCAGTAAAACCGTTCCCATAACAAACCCCAGTACTAAACCAACAAAAGAGAAAATTAAAATTACTAAAAGAAAAAAAAGAAAAAGTTAAAATATTACCTTTCCCAAGTGGCACCGTAGAAAGGGATAGTAGCAATTACCCAAAACCAGAACGATAATTTGCCACTCATCACAGAGGATGCAAATGCCATAGTTTCAAACTATCAGACAATAGCAAAGCACAGCCGAATAACTGTCAAATACTTGGAAGTGTTGTATGAGGTACTAACAATTACCACCAGCTAAATCATTTGCAAAGATTCCTAGTAATTCCACTCTGTGATCATAAAAATCCTCAAAAACAGATTTCATGCCACCAAAGCTAAATTCCCTCCAACCGGTGATCCTAGCAAAGCGTGTCAAAAAGGAACCGGGATTATCACTAACCGAGCAAGTGAGGGCATCACAACCTGCCAAACAAGAAGCATGCACAAACAACAAAATAATGTCAATAGAAATCACAAAAAGATATCAACGTCACCTTTTACAGGGCTAACTTGTAAGCTGAAAACAGAATTCCAATCCGGGCTTAATGCCGCTCAGTTCTTTCGAAACCGCAGCTTTACATACATAAACGAATCTAAAAAATATTGAACGAGATTGTAGAGTGATGTCTCTAATATTTCTACAATCAAATTGTGAGTTCCGTAAGATCCTCTACCGTGATCAAAAAGCTCTCCGAGAGGGCTCGAAGAGTTTGTCCGCCTAGCTTGCTTGCCATCAACAGCATCAAAAGTCTGTAAAATACACAAATTGAGACATTCTGACTTGGGTGTATGGGCAGAACTGCATCCCCTTAAATCACTCGAAAAATCGTAATGATCGGTGAGCGGCAATCTCTCGGAATCTTCTTGACTAGAATTTTTTTTTGAGAAATACAACTATTCCAAGAACATAACTGTCCAATCACGATTTTCAATTGAAAATTTACAGAGTGATTGAAGAGTCTTAGAGTTTGACCTGGTAAAGAAAGAGAAGGATGCCATGTGCAAAGTACACCCACCGAGGAGCAGGTGCGTCCAAATTCGGCGAATAAATCTGTCGTCGAATGATTTTACGGCGTTGCATGAAAAGTTATTCAAGTTTGAGATTTCCAACACCTCATGAAAGTCATTACTCCCACACCTCATGAAAAAGACTAATGAACTACCCTTCGATAATCTACCTGTTCCACTTGATAAAATAGACACTGATTCATTACGTGTCGAGGGGCAGGTACTCACATAACTCAGCAACGCTGAAGTGAGGACCATGCCAAATCCCATCAAAGTAATCTGTCACAACCAAGAATGAGCTTGAGGTCATGCTTCTGGACGCACCATCACAAGATATGTGATTTCTCTCTCTTTAGGAACGTGTGCAACCTGATACTACAGAGCTTTTCCAATACATCTAACGCGCAAAAACTTCGGAAAGTCGGCGAAAACCGCACCGCAACGCGACTATTAAATTTCCCACTAATCGAAAAATGAGATAGGAGTGCACAAGTTCTTTCACTTCATCATTCAATACATTTAGTGTAAAGCAAACACAGATCTGAAAAGACCTATATGCCCTGATTTGCGATCATCCATACAAGTGCCCAATCCTGGTAGGAAAATATAATCTAGAACATCGCAGTTAAGCAAGTCTAAGAGACAATGCAGCCACAACACTGTTGCAGGATGTCCCACCGAAAGCGCAAAACTTGAGACTCACCATGTTGGGACTGATGCATTACACACGAAGTAGAGCCCAAACCAACCAACACAAAACAACGGCGTCAGAAAACACACTAGCTAAACAGCATTGAATCTACGCAGGGCCCGATTCCTCGTCAAATTCGAAATTGCACATTCTCTCCAAGCCTTTCACAATGTAAGTTAAAAATCGATCGCATTCTTAGAACTCATCACATATCCAGAACACGCTCACGGAATCCTAAAAAAACACTTCATTCCCTTCCAAAACATCTAGACCCACTCTGCACCAAAAACTTTCCACCCAACTTCGACACGGAGCTCCTCCGCTAGATGAAACGCGAGATCGGCGTCCACTTACGGCATCCACATGGGAAAGAAATTGACGGCGAAACGCCAGAATGGTTGGAAGACCCATTTGGCCATGTAGGAGCGATCGATCCCGCTGTACTTGTAGCGGTGTAGCGCCTCGACGCCATGCTTTCCTACGTAACCCATGGCCACGAAGTCTGTCTCTGCCAGAGAACAACCCACCTCCCGCAAACCCCACGAAACCCTCAACTACTACAATGCTGCAAGTGCCGAAGAACAATTGCTGTCAACGAGTGTGGGAAAGATGGAGGAGACTCGGCAATTCAAGGCAGCGCGATCGCGGTGTTGCAACTCTCACTACAACAGTAACGGAATCCAACGAGACGGTAATTTTAGGGCGGACATGGCACCGGACCGGCTGACCCGGTGTTGTGCCAGGAGACAACTCTACCCGTGGGGGACACATTACGTAGGATTGATTTTCCGGGGCGGGAAATGACGTGGCGATTACTCCTGTCCACGTGGTAGTTGAGTATAGATCGGAGTATATGCGGGTAGTATCCTCACTCGCAGTGTGAACGAGGTGGGGTGAACGGGTTTGTCTCTTTCTATTGGGGAATATTGGAACTATTTAAAGACATTGCATTCTTCAATTTCACAGAATGGAATCTGTCCTTTTATTCTAGATACTTCACAGGTAAACTGACTTTTTCTTCGTTCTTTTTTTCAGATACACACATGTATTTGACTTTAACACTTAAGTATAAGATTGTTATTATCCTTTCTAACTTGAAAGTTTGATTGCTAACAAACATAAAAATAAATAAAAATAAATAGATAAATAAGAACTGTTGATTCATCAACAACAATGACGTCTGAAAAAACATGAAAGCAGTATACATTATTTTCTTAGTTCATATATTCATACAGACGTAGCCCAGGGGCAGGCATGAGTTAAAAAGCAGACGAATAAGAGTTCTAATTCATGCACATTTCTCTTAAGTGTGAACAACTTTGTGGAACATTTCACCTTGAATTTATTTTAGAAAATATTCTCGCTTCCTACAATTTGTACAAAATAAATAAATAAATAAAATCTACTATACTCCTTAATACATCAGGTCATTAACAAAACCAGTTTTTTTATGTCAATCTATGATTTTGGAACAAAAAATAAATAAAATGATAGAAGTTCATAAATATCATGAAATAAAAATTTCACCCACGTGCTTCTCGTGGGTTCTCACATATTAACTACGCAGAAATTTAATATTTTCTCCCCCGCATTTGTTTATCAAAACCAGTACTGAGGAGAAGAACGATGCGGAGGAATGGATGTACGAGAAACATGTTCTGCCTCTCACACACTCGTGGATGGATGTACACAATGGATGAATGAGAACTTAGGGAATGAGGCGGAGCGAATGCTCTCTCTCATGAACCAGGCCATGCGATGCTCGAGGCCAGTGAGCGAGTGAGTGATTTCATGGTGCTACGAATTCTTGGACGAGGCGAGGGGAGAGGAGAAGGGCCACGTCGGAGAGTTGGAGGTTGAGAGCAGGAAGGAAATGTTGAGGATGTGCGTGGAGAAAGATAATCACATTTTGTTGTGTGTCGAGATTGGAAGTTTTTAGGGTTTCTGCATCCTTCTGCACGCATGGCATGTGCGCTGAGATTGTGTATTTCCGGTCAAGAAGGAGGAGGAGGTTAGCCAGGAGCTTGATGCCGTGATTTCCTGGATGGTGGTAGATTGCTTGGTTTAGGATACAGCTTTAGGGTGGGAGTGTTCCTGATCTTGTGGAAGAAGGGGAAAGACTATAGGAGGGTCAAACGATCGAGCGCCATGTTTTATGGTGCTATGATATGGGATCCGTGGCTGATTCTAGCACAGATCGTGTGCATCCAGTCACTGTACTACATGAGTTTAGGGATTTTCTTGTGGGCGTTTGTAGGCACGCAAGTGCCTGAGCTCACGCTGAAATATTTCTTCAACCATTCGCTTGTCACGGGGGCCTCGGTCGTGGGGTGGAGCGTAATCGCTGCTTACATTGTTAACTCATTGTGCGGGTGAGGATCTTGCCCTTGAACTTTGCCTTATGTAGGAAATGCTTGACCCGGAAGGATTGCTTGACCTTGGCGACTCCGGTTGCATCTCGCACATGATTAGTGCAGCTTTTTGGGTGTGGATTGAAATGGGAAATTTCAGGTCACATGTTTTCAGGATCGGGACTCGTGTTAGAAGCAATGTGACATAGGTGTACTGTTACGTTAAGTTGCTGACGTGCTTTTTGGATCTACCAGTTCTGGCATAGCATGTTGAACATAACAGTGGAAGCACCTATCGTGTAATAATTCGCGGCGAGGGTGTAATGAGGAGGTTGTGTGTATTGGGTTTCGCTCCCTTCTGATCATATTGTGTGTTCGGGTGTTTTGGTTTTCGGGTGCAGAGCCGCATGCATGTTTATATTGGTAGAGAGGGCCAAGAAGTGTCTAGATTTCACCGTGACTCTGTACATTATTCATCTCATTTTGTGCGTTCTTTACCACGGCTTTCCGACCAGCTTTTTATGGTGGTTTGTGTTCATCTTGTGCGTGGTGATAACTGCTCTCTTTGGAGAGTGGTTGTGCATGCGACGGGAATTGAAAGACATTCCCATGAGAAGTACTCGACTCGGTCAGTATGCTTCGTTTGTCTTTTATGCTTCTCGTTTTATCTTGCTGCACTTTTTGACTTGGAAGAAGTTGAACTTATGAAGCAGACGCAGTATGTTCTCTACTATAACCCATTGCGACTGGCAACGATGTTAATTACATTCTTACTTTTATTTTGTCAACTTAACAGTAAAATTTATGATTTTACATTTTTTTAATATTTGTAGTGCTGACATCGGTATCAAATGTCTGGTCTGCAGATGTTTGATTACAGGAATCGATTGAGCGTCACACGCTGGGCCTGCCGGTTCGGATTCGGTTGTTTTAATGCAGCACCAGGAATTCCACTTACTATGTACATCCAGAGGGGCGAATCTTCTGCCATGTTATGGAACAATTTTTAGGTTTTGTGTACTCTACGGTTTCAGTCTTCTTTGAGCGTAGCATCGGATTATTGATTTGTTCTCGGGAACCAGCGGTGTATTTACCCTATCCCCTGAATGTTTCCTTAGTGGAACCCTTTAGAGAACATGGCCGACTCCACGTCTTCATGGTAGTTTGACGAAGATAGACACTTCGACATGTATTGTTAAATAACATAGTATCGCTAAGTTGCAGGACACCTTTGAAGGTCATGTCTGGACTATGCTGTGAATATTGACTGGGAAATGTTACAAAAGAACCAAGTTGTTCTATTCCTTCAATATTTTCTTAGTTTACGTGCCTTCCTCATCGTTCTTGCCTCTGCAAATTCCAGCATTTATGTGGTCACAATAACAGATGTGTGCATTTACATACATTTGGCACATGGCATGGTTGAGGAAATACTGCACAAATTTCTTGAATCTTTTTAGGTGAGGGAACTAGTTCTCTTTGTCTTTCTTTTGAGTACTGAGTGACCCCACTGACCCTCCCCTTTCCTCACCCACCGCATGTAAAGAAGAGGTGGGTTCGAGTGTCTTTTGTCTTCTCCCTCGAGTATTTTGCGATAATCATGTGTATTCAGAAGCCCTTTCCCTGGTCGCTGTTTCGACGTTTCGACTTTAACACACCGAGTTAAAACAAACTGTCGGTTATAATCGAAGTCTTTCTGTATCTAAGAAAGATATTCAAGACAAATACTGGATAGTATATGATAGGTGCTTAAGAGCATAAAATGACGTGTTTCAACGTCGTCCGTAATGATCCATGGATTTGGAATTGACTCGCAACGTCATTGAGAGTGAGCTGAAATAAAGTCTCAAAATCTCTACTAGGATACGTGCTGAAGCACCCATCATCAGAAGGTGTCTCTTGTGACGGGACTGTGAAAGCAGACAATGATGTCTCAACTTTAAGCTCTTTGTCGCCAAGAAGTGAGAGCTCTGATTTCCCTGGGTTACAGTTCTTGTATGATGAGAAACATTTGGGGACTGCATTTGCAAATTGGCTTATCCTTGAGGTGGCTATATATATAAATAAATAAATAACAATAGAACATTGTCTAATTGTGATGGCGAAGCTAATCTATATAAGTAATAGATTATAACAGAATACAATCTAATCTGTTATAATTATAATCTAGTTAGGTGTACATAGTATCCTCCTACCTAGCTTCATCACATGAGTACACCCATCTAAATGTGTTATTGATGATATGTACACGTAACATATATTGTATGCGTAATATTATTGAATATATATATACCATAACATAACATGATCCTAATTAACAAGTCACCCTACACAAGACAAAATATGAATGGAATTATGTGGAGTGTCTGAGGTGCTCCCCGGACGACTAGGGGGACGTCGTAAACCCTAAAAAAGTGAAACAGAGCATTAATTACTTATTCCAGCTTGGTGTACTGGGAGTACAGAGGCCATACTAATATATATAAAAGGCTTGGTCACTTCTGTATGTTTGGAGTTTTCAAAAAGGATCAGTGCTTGAGACCAGGACAGGGAGATTGTCGCTGGTCTGGCTTTTGCTACGTGCAGTTAGCTACCCATAAGGTTGAAAGGCTTCAAAGTCATGTCTTGCAACTCTACCCATGTCTTCAAAAAAAATTGAAGGATTTGTTTCTTTAGATATTTAATTATTTATTTGATCCTCTTATTTCTCACTCTGTCCCATCTCCCATGCAGGTTGCATGTACTGTGGTCTAGATGAAATCATGTCAAGATCTACGCACGGAGACGTTTAAAATGTCTACCCAGTTTTGGCCGAAAGCAGTTTTTGTGACTGCCTTCCTAGGAAAGTCTTTCTTACTTGTACGTACTAATGCTATGTACGGTGCTTCTGCATACGTTTCAACTTTAGAATGGAATACCAAGTCACGGGTATATTGTAAGAAAAAGTGGGTGTCCAGACGAGTAGGCTCATGATGAATAAATCATTGTTTTGCGTAACAAATTCTCAGAATTTACACCAGCCCTTTCCCTCTAAAGCTCGAGAACATTACGCATTATGGATAGTCGATAAATACGATTGGTTCTATGAACCGTCATATCAGTGCGCTGGAGTCAGGCTACTAATTATCAGCTCAGAATCCCGGCGTGCAATGAGCACTGTGGGGCCATGTGGCCAGGATGCGCCACGAGGAACTGCAAAACCTGGACGGTCTGGTGTACGAGGTTGATCACCTACCACATCCAACTGCACATAGACACCTCACTTGCGCTATTTCGTGGTCCGAGAGATTCTGCTTATGCTTACACTTGATGAACTTTTTAATGTGTTGCCAAGTTAAGCATAGAGACGCGTGCTTTACCCTTGCAATAAAATGTACCGATAAATGAGAATTAAAAGTTAGCGTTATACACTGGAACCCCTAAGCTAGGGAAATAAGTTAATGGTAAGTTCTTAGCTGCCTGCTTCAGATTTAACGCAACACCCCCAATACAGCACATAGAACGGCCTATGTTGCACATCCATCACGCGACTGTTAGTGAGGAAGTCAAAGACACTTAGCCCACGCTAGTATTGAATCAAACCCAGAATCTTTGCTCCTTATCTGTCAGAAGGCAACTACGAGCATATCCCCGAGAGGGAGCTGAAATTGCTAATCCAAATTGAACACAAATAGGTCCAGAAACAAGCCTTTTTAACGAAATACAGAACACACGGAGTCTTCAGTCTCCATGTTAACGGGACTGTGGTAGATGGTTAATAAAAACTATACAATGGACCAAAGGTGTCAAATAATTTCAGTTACAAAATCTTGAAACGTAACTACAGTATTCTCTCTCTCTCTCTCTCCCCCTCTCCCTCTCTCAGGTGGACATTCTAACGCAGACCACCAACAGAAGAAAAGAGCTTCTGGCCGATGAACCAAGCCAGCATATGTAATGCTTACACATGTACATGAATCTATACCGTGATGACCAGAGCGCGTTTAATGCAATATACTTCCAGTTTATGTTTCAGCGCAAATAACCCTACTAGTAACCGTCTAATAGGTTACATCATGAGTCAGGCGTACATCTCTTGGATTCAGGGGCTGAAAACCTTGGTGGAATCGTGTTTCGGTCACACAAACAGGGGCAGGATGCGAGCTACGACTGTTCCAAACTCGCAATTTCTTTTACGACTTGAGCCTTGTCCTGGTCGAATTGCGGATCCTCCTTCTCACTCTTAAAGTCGCTAAAGAACCGGAGGAACTTACTTCGATTAACCACCAAGATGTTCACAATTTCGGGTGGCTTGTTCTCATTGGCCACAAAAACCTTGAAAACATGAAACGCTTCTATCTGGATGCTCTTGCTCGAGTCCTTCAGGAGGTTCATGAGGATGCGCATGTTTTCCATCGAACTGACATACCGCATCATCACATTGACATTGGAACGATCCAACAGAATATCGCCCAGCAACTTCACCATTTGCCGTCTCGTAATATAATTCGGAGACGTCAAAAGCTTTGTGTTGAATTCATTAAAAAACCAGTCGTAATTCTTGCTGAGGTAATCCGCGACTGTGGACTTATGTCTCGTCAGGAGCTCCTTGAAAGTGACAACAGCGTCGGACGCAACTTCGAAATTAGGTAACTCTATGTACTGGAAGAACTTGCACAAGTGTTGCTGCGAATCCAGCACGTACCGCGCAATACTCTGGTGCCGAATACACTCCCGCAGCATGGTGCCATAGTGCAACGCCATATCCGGCTTGTCGTAGCCCGCCACAAGGAGATCGAGAAGGTCCTTGTTCCGGTCCAAATAATCCGCAGCGATCAGGCGCGACTGCACCTGCTGCCGCTGCAAATTGGCCACCACCTGCGTAATATCCTTCCGCACCTCCAAGTCGAATTTCGGCAAACATTGTATCATCAAGCGCATTGCGTCCTCCCGGAACATCTCCTGCGTCAGCTGCGCACACGCCTCCGGGACAGGCTCCGCCTCGCTATTCCCATACAACACTATTTTCATGTCCCTGACGTTCTTCGCCACCTCCATCATCTTCTCCTCACGCTTCGGATCGCGTGCCGCACTCAGCGACAGCAGCAACTCCCTCGTCCCCCGAACCAGGTCCGCGGTGGTCCGCTTCTTCTCCTTGAACAATCCCCTCATCTTGTCAACCACCACTACTACCACCACAGTAATTCACTCTCACTCCCTCCCTTTCCCCAACATCCAAACTAATCGTTCTCCTAGTCGAACTCCAATCCGTGTCCTTCCTAAACAGCTAAAGAGAGGACGCGTCTAGCGGAAGAGAGCACGCCGGGTGCAGGTAGAAGAAAAAAAAAAAAAAAAAAAAAAAAAAACCTCTCTCTCTCTATCCCACTCTACTGCGACACGCTCCTATCCCGCATAGCTTTGACTCTTATCATCTGAGACCCTGGATACCAAAATAAAAAAAACAATGAGAAACATGAAAAACGGCGACCAGGAGCTGAAGACGATGATGAAGAGAAGAGAAGAGACTGAAGAGGCTTGCAAATCCGACATCGACAGGCCAGCCCAGAACCGAAGACGGTTCTAAGCCCCCCCCTCCCCGCACCACCCCAGACCACGCTTCATTCACACATCACCTGGTCCCCTCCCCACGAGTAACCCTCAGCCTCTACATTACTTTTAGACATCCTGGTAACGTTTTTTTCATTGTTACGACTCCGTTTTCACCACCGAGGATTTGGGGGCCAACGCTGGGACGAGTCGCCCGTGCACATCGATGAAAAGGGGGGTGCCTTGTCAGCTCAATCGAATACTATTCCACTGCCACGTAGGCCCTAACTACTAGCTTGGGGCTGGAGTGCCACTTTGAATGTTGTTTGATCCCCTTGTTCTTTAGTGCCCCATCACCCCTTTGGAATGCTTCATTGCGTGCCTTTGCCTCCTCTCTCACTCAGTCTCTTGGAAGAGACTGATGCATGCGCCATTATTTGAGTGAACTTGAGCCCCGAGATCATGAAGCCTATTCAATTGACCCATTCTACACTGTAGTATGTGACTGATATCAATGATCTAAGACTTGTGTGTAGTGTCTGAAAGCTTTCACACCCCGAACACTTTCAAACTTGGATGAAACCGCGCACTATTTGTTAGTAACAACTTGACCACTGGTTTTCACATTAGTACTTTAAAAAATAAAATAAAACTTGTGGTATTGATTTAAGTGAATAGGGTGAAAAGTAGAATCATTGAATAAATGTTTAGACCTGACAGATCTTGATCTAAAATTCGTCACGTGCTTTCAATGTGTTATGTGGATCTCAAAGCAAATATGGTTTAGTATGAACAAATATGGACAATGTATGTAAAGATGTTCGTGCATTTACAAAACTATGATTTATGATTTGTTATTTTTAAATTTCTTCAGAGTTACCATTTCCCCCAATTTTAAATTTTGCTTTCTCATCTTTGGACAAGGTGCATTGATCAGCATCGAACACATAAAGACCGGAACACTGTATGATCCAGTTGTATCATTTATTTAGTATATTTTGTGGGAGGTGTGGGCAACACGAGTGAGATTCCAGTGCACTGAAGAGAATGGTTATTTGAAGGATTGCTAAAATCAACATATAGGTGATGATGGAGTTATCATTTTTGAAAACCAAGGGGTTCATGCTAGAGCAGATGAAACGACGCGGTGTGAACGGGGTCCTCTGCCCTGGCAACGCCAGGCTGAGTCAGCCCAATGGATGAGTACACGTCAAGGAGGATGAATGACCACGCAAAGAGGAATCGTAATAGTAACGAACGTCGTTCCAGCACACTTCGTCGTTTCTGGACGAGGGACGTAAGGACGACGACGCGCCCACAAAATGGACGAACGGCGTCGTCTGTGGCTCCTTCCCCCTTGCACTGCAGTTCTTCCTCTTCGATTTCGTTTCATGTGCGTCGATTAATGGACTCCCTCACATAGCAAGCATAACTTCAGAGTGTTGTTGGGAATGTTTTTGGATGATGCGAGGTGGTTTGAGACTTGTGGAAGAATTGGGGTTCCAGGTTGCGGAGGAAGCTTTTGAGGTTTTGGGAAGGGAAGAGGGGAGGCAGGAGATTGAGTTTGGTGATGGTGAATGAACCATGGAGCTTCCAGTGATAGAATTGGAGCCGTTTCTGAAATGGAGGATTGCGCAGAGCTGCAAGAGCGAGCTGCCCACCAGCTTCCAGTGTAATTTCTGCAACGGACATTTGGAAAACGGCGACGTGGGGAAAGAAGACGGGGGATTGGACGAGAGCGATTCGCTGTTGCGTGAGAGCTGTGCAAGGGTGGCCGCTTGCTTGCGTGAGACAGGAGCGCTCGTCATTCGTGATCCTCGCTGCTCCACCGACGACAATGATCGGTTCTTGGATATGTTGGAGCGGTATTTCGGTCAAACTTCGGATCTCAAGCGCAAGGAGGAACGTCCTGAATTGCATTATCAGGTACAGGTCGTAGTATCCAAGCCCACCAATCTGTGTTTTCGTTGGTGTCGGGATCGAGTTTTCATTGCCCTTTAATGGCTGTGATGATGTGTTTCGATCCAGGTAGGAGTAACCCCAGAGGGAGTTGAAGTGCCTCGATGTTCGGTGGATCCTAAGTTGCAAGACTTATGCAGATCATGCCCGAAAATGCCCGCCCAGTCATGCCCACTGGTCCCGATCGGAAATGGCGGTACATGTGGCGCATTGGACCCCGCCCTGCTGAAACTCGCTTTCAGGTACTCGTCTGCTATATCTTCTTCTCTTTTTCTTTGGAAAAACCCTTGTTATCTTGTGTGGATTATGAACCCGATTTGGCTTGTGGATGTCTTTGAATCGTTTATTTCTTAGGTGTTGTACTTCGTTGAGCAATTGTTTCCTTTGATTGTGGTATCCAGGAATTAAATGCCAACCCTGTCATACCTGAGGGTTTTCCTGAGTGGGTGGATGTCATGGATGGCTGGGGTCACAAAATGATCGCCGCTGTTGAGGTATGTGTTATGCGCTTCATTCTATGTACATTTTTGGGAAGTTATTATTATCATCATCGTCATTGTCATCAACTTTTTTGACCTATCCTGAATTTTTTTGAGATATTTTAAAAGTTCGCTTTGTCATTTGGTTGTAGGTTGTTGCAGAAATGGCAGCTCTTGGCTTTGGTCTTTCAAGAACAGCATTTACTTCTCTTATGAAGCAGGTACTTGGCTATTCAGTGGTTGTTGATAGCGTCCTTCTGTTCATATCTTCGGTTTAAAAAAACATTCTTGAGAAATTTTACGGTATACACCAAATAATTGCCGTTCGGGGTTTTTAATTTACACGAACAAACTGTAGTTTTAATATTGTTCTTATTTTTACAGGGACCTCATCTTCTAGCGCCAACAGGAAGTGATCTATCCAAGTACGCTGATTTGGGCAACGTGTTTGCGGGCTACCATTATGACCTCAATTTCTTAACTATTCATGGGCGCAGCCGATTTCCTGGGCTTTTTATCTGGCTCAAAGATGGTCGTAAAGTCCCAGTCAGAGTTCCAGAAGGTTGTCTTTTGCTTCAAGTTGGCAAACAGGTCAGTGTACACTTTTGTTTCCACTGGTGGACAGTACCATCATATTTGCTTGATTTGTCGGGCCTGTTGTACTGTGCAGAGTACCCATGTTCGGGCCATTTAGCACGGTATGAAGGGTGAATGTCGCAAACTGGAAACCCTTGAAGTGTTTTCAATTGCCTCAACGTTTGCGTTCCAAACTTTGGGTGAAATCTGTGATTAATGGAAGCTGAGATGATCTTGCTTTTGAATGTTGGTGTTCATCCAGTTCTGAGCCATGTGCTGTGGAACAGTTGGAGTGGCTGACAGGCGGCGAATGTGCAGCGGGCATGCATGAGGTAGTTAGTGATGGCACTATGAAAGCTGTTGAAGCCTCAAAGAAGGCTGGTAGGAGTCTGTGGAGGGTATCTTCAACGGTAAGTGCTAGTTCTGTAGTCCTTTTCCATTCCATTTCGATCTGAATGTAAGCAACACTACTGATTACGCATTTATAACATCTGGTTTGGAAGTTGCGGTCCTTCATGATTGGTAGGAGTTTAACGTTGGGGTGCATATGCAAAGAAGCATTTTTCAATTTACATTGAATGATTGTGTATCATTTGGGTAGGAAGTATAGTACAGAGGTTAAAGTTCAAGTTTTGTGTGGTGCAGATGTTTGCTCACATTGCTTCAGACGCAATTTTAAAACCTCTCGGTCACTTCGTCGATGCACCTGCAAGCACTAATTACTGTCCAATATATGCCGGTGAATACGTGGAGGTGGAGCTTTCGGCAATCAATTTGAAAAACAGCAAACGCTAGTGTATTTGATTGCGTTGGTGTCTAGTTGGGACAGGCCAAACTCGGGTCAAAGAAGTAGGAAGGATCAGAAGCTTTGAGCTCTGCTTACTTAGTGTCGTTGATTAAAAAGAGCATTGTGAATCAACCTTGTGGCAGGTATTGTGCTATGATAGACCTACCAAGTAGGTGGCTGGTTGCATCAGCCGTGTTTTTGCAAGCTGCTCGTCCACTGTGTATAATGGATTGAGAATGTAGGACTGAGTAGAAAATTCTTTTGCCGTTTTACTGGTCCTTAGCACTTATCTGGGGCTCGTAGGATGAAGCTATTTGAATAGTGTGGGATTGTATTATTCATCTAAAGAAAGAGCTATTCCTTATTTTAGTTTGTGGTGCAGCATTTGTCAATTTTGTATGTTTGCCTGCACGCATCCATTTTATTCTCTTTATTGAGAATCATTCAATCTGCAGCGTCCAATGGTGTTTTTCATTGCCTGTCTGGATGGGTCATTATAATAGGAAGACCAGCCTTCACTACCTGACTCGTCGTCACAAATCCACTGTCTATCGTCCGTGTACATGCCGATCTATATGCAAACCCCGTTGAAGTGGTTTTTAGTAACTGAATTCTCCATTGTTCAATTGTCACAAGCAAGTCACCGAAATAAACATGTTAAGATGATTCACAGAAACGGATGACCGAAATTGTCGAAACCTTCTGGTAAAAGGTGGAGCGTAGCCTGGAGGGCGAATTCCCCACCTTTGTGAGGCGCTGGAACTGGCTTAACTAGTTTCACGCTCTTCCCCTACTAGCCATGTAAAATCCTGGAGCGACTGGGTGGGCCACCTTTACTTCGAGGTTTGGAAGAATACTGTCGAATTGTCGATTCGACGTAGGAGGCACCGAGTGCAACTGGTGGATGAGATTTATTGTTAATCTCCACAATATCGGCCCAATCTGCTTCGTCGCCCGGTTGGACTGCCGAGACTTGGACCTTGGCAACTGGGCTCCACAAGAGTTAAATTGTGCACGCCGGTTTTGTGCAGTTCCGGTTGAAGGCCCTGATGTGTCTGGACCACGTAATTTGAAGTGTCTCCTTTTCTGGTCTGTCTCATTTTTCCTCTGAAATACAACCTTTTAAATCTTCTCTGAGCCTCCGATTAAGCATCGATTGTTACTGAAGGAGAGGGAATCGCTAAGTTTTTTGGAGGGGCGGTGGAGCTGTCGCTATGGCTGCTCTCACGGTGTTGCCATCTGCGGTAGGCTTTGGTTTTACCTTCTCTTGGATGGATTCTGGTTTGAGGTTTAGAACTTTGGAAGGTTTTACAGGGGGTTTCTTGCTGGCATTGGTGCTAGTGGGGTGAGAGCCATGCTTGGTATTTTGGAATTGGGGTATGGAAGCTGGTGGCAGAGAGCTTTGTGAAAGCGTGGTTATATGGACAGGGACGTCATTGCATTATATTGGGCCAAGTTTTCGTGTCTACGCCAGTGGATGTCATTTCCAATATTTGTAAAATTTCGCAACTTCTGTGCGAGAGTGTGCCTGAATCTGGGCGTTAAGTGTTTTAGCCGAATTTGCACACATAATTATTGCAGGGTTTAGACTGATTAGACTGCGCAGGGGACACATCATAGCGGTTCGCTGAAAATGATCTAGGATTTTAACCAGAGAATCGATAATCTTTGCAGAGTTTGTGCATAAGATGTCAAGCATCGTCATCGTCAACGTCTACGCGGGAGCCTTACAATCTGAACCAAACTCTTACCGTGCCAGAGGGAACACCGGCCATGAAAGTTATGACCGGGGCGGTGAATGCACTCTTCTCGTTCCAACCATTTTTTAAGTTTGCTTCAGGTCAGGCAAGAAAGATGATAATAGAAAGAGGTTCTGAAATTGGGTATCCATGGGAACCGGAGTTAGCCAGACTTAGGCAGTTCGATTGGGATGCGGAATTGAAGACTGTGCAAAATCCTGACATAGAATATCCAGAAGTAGGTTCTTCTCACTTGCCACTTCTGAATTCTCTGTGTAAGAATATTTGTGAACTTCTATCTTGTAAAATTCAGGAGTACTTTGCAGTCGATATTATATTTATAAGTATCTTATCTATTCGATATCTAAGTTGTCAATCATAGAATTCTGCTAGGACACATCTGTAAACAGGGTATGTTTTCTTGCTGCGAGTGGTTTACACAAAGCTTTGTCATGTGCAGTATTATTTAAAACCCTTTCATGCGTATGACACTGGAAATCTATCATGGGATGCTGCTTTGGAGGTGGAGCTGGCAGCTAAATCCGTGCACGCCAATGTCTTCGATCCCGAGGCAAGTATTCAGCATCTGCACTGGATTATGCAGAGTTTGTTGTGACGGAGACGTGGAGCAAGATGTGTAATTGGTGCTTTCATTCCTCTCTAACCGTTCAAGGTATTTTGGTGCTGATGACAGAGAAAAGTGTTGGATCCAAATGGTGATATCAGGTTAAGAGACTCGTATCACGAGAAGCTATTGCAAATGTTGAACTTCACTCCTCGTGCAATTGTTGATTTAGGGTGTGCATCGGGGCTCAGCACTTTTGGTCTACACCAGGTTGGTCTCAATGTCAAGAATGTTTAATTTCCCATTTGAAGATCAGGTCTCGTGGAGCAGATCGAGCTCCTGCTGAGACAAGTCGGATTTGCATAGGTTTATTACTACCATGAAACAATCTGTTTGATACTATGGACGACTTTCTGATTATTTATTTATTTATTTATAATTTTAATTTCAGGTTTTCCCAGATGCCCACGTAATTGGAGTCGACCTCTCACCTTTTTTCATTTCTGTGGCTAATTTTCGGGTTAAGGAGCAGGCTGAATCTTTGGTATGTGAAAATACTCTGCTTGAACTCGTTTAAAAATGTGAAAAAGAGAGTAGAAGCGTGAATAGAAGTAATTTCAGACTACTTGTCTTTTCTAGTTTCACATTACTCCTTAGAGTGACTTCAGTAACAGGCTGTAGGCTCCCAGTCAGTTGTGAGTAGCGTTTGAATTTTAACATAGAAAGTGAAGCAGGACCAAAAATCGCCTGTGCACTTTCTGCACGGCGCTGGGGAGTATACAGGCCTACCATCGGGGGCATTCGATATGGTATCCATGAGCCTTGTGTGTCACGAACTGCCACGTTCAGCAACCAAGGAGGTATGCGACTGTGTCTTTTAAGAAGCACTTCCATAAAGTTAGGTTATCAACATTAGGTGTGTTATTGCGTCACTCTTCATATTTGTCTCTTTTTAGGTTATGCATTTTGACACTTTTCGATCAAGTTGCAAGCAGAAACTGGTTGCTTTCTCAAATATCTTAAGGATGAGGATCTGTCGATTTAACACTTTGGGGTTGGCGATGCAGATCCTTGAGGAAGCTCACAGATTATTGAGACCAGGAGGTGCTCTGACCATCATGGAGATGAACCCATATTCTCCCCTTGTACAAAACATGGTCAAGAATGTTTTTGCTTTCACTGCTGTAAGCCACCTGGACATGAGCTGCCCAATTTTTTGTTTTGCACATGATGCAGATCGGCGTCCCTTGAGTAACACAAATGTGTATTTGAAATGTTGTGTACACATTTTGAAGAGAACATGAAGCTTAAACTTGGAGGCCGGTTTCTATTTTGACCATTTGCCTCACTGGGATGTGGTATTGTGGCAGTTTAAAGCAACGGAGCCCTATTTCGACGATTACAGAACCTTCCAACTGGAAAGGGCCATAGAGCAGCGAGGCTTCACATTTCCAACACAAGCGGAGAGCTCCCCTCGTCACAGAACTATGGTGGCGATCAAGAAATAAATGAATTTTGCACCGTCTTTTCTTTGCCTCTGTTGAAAGCCTCGTTGCCTACACATTCGTGCCACTGGAGTAGCTGATAGGCAAATTTGTTCATTGCCCAGGGCGTTCTATGTTTCTCTCTAGTATAATGAGAAGGTGCCATTTCTCGAGCATTACAATCATAATTCGTAACTGTTTGGTCACTTTTGGTGACCTACCTGCAGCACGCAAGACGGGATTTCTGATGCCAAACAAATGGAATAACTTTGTGATGAACATGGTCAAGACAGGTGAATTGAAGAGGGTTTCTACTGAATCTATCACCAGCATACATTCCAGTTTCTACCTTGCCACCAAACAAATTCGTCCAGCCTCTTCTATGTCTTTGCACTTGGTGTGACGAAGAATGAAACCAGAGTTGATTTCTCAATGGTGGTCATCTACAAGTCTGACTTGTGAATTACTCAATGGCATCTTTGGTTGAACGCATCCGCCTACCCTAACAAGTTATCTTGAGCCTACATCATTGAACAAGTCAGAATTCTGCACTGCATGTACAAAAGCTTGAATGCGAGCCGGGTCTTTGCGTATTCCATCGGGCCCCGCAATACCACTTGAAACATCCACAGCATTGGGTGTTACAAGGGAGAGTGCTGTAGCAACATTACTAGGAGTAAGTCCACCTGCTAATAGCCAGCCCCTTCGGCTCTGCATACTTGGAGCTCGAAAATTTCGCCAATCGAATTGCTCGCCACTGCGCATTCCGTTTACGTTGAGTTAGTAGGATCACCCAATCGATCTCCAAAATTCCACTCATAAGATCTCAACAAGACAGATTGAAGTTTCTACTTTGGTAGCTTCAACCACAAAGTCATATGATAATAACAGGTATCTCAAGTATCTCAATTGACATTCTCGACATTTGCGTTGATGCAACACACACGAGCAGATATCTACGTGTGCCAAGTGGGCCAAAATAAAAAGGAATTTAGCAAGCATGGTTCACACCTGCCCCCTTGTAAGCTATCCACCAACACCCAGTCCACAAGAGGGCTACCCTCGCTGCTCTCTGGAAACTTGGTCTGAATAATTCCGTTTTTGTTGGCGTGCAACACGTAGATCACCTTCAAGGATTCCGGCAAGCCTTGAAGAAGAGAAGCTCTTGCGCCATCTCCGTGCAACTGTAAACCGAATTAAATTCACATAGAAATTCATCAGCGCCTCGACTTACGTTAATTCTCGAATCACCTTCATGGCACAGAAACCTTCAAGTAAACTTTCCCATTGCAACATCGCAGAGCTTAACCCTAAACCCTACACTGTCTTACATGCCTTGCAGATAGTACGTGCTCCTCTATACGATTCAGGTAGGAAGTGACCTTCTCATGGTTCGAAAAACCATCAGGCAGAGGAAAAACCAGTTGAGCTGTACGATTTCTCTCATCAAATTCTAAAATTCGAATACAGGGTTTCACTGCAATAGCACCCTCACCTGAGCAATGCCAAGTTTAGCGTCATTACACGCCCTCTCAATCTGCTCAGCATCTTCATCCACAAAGACACCGACTGGCTCGGCACCATTCTCTCTAGCCGCAGCAGCTATCTCTTGTGCAAGGCTCACGGTAACGGATCTTTTGGACTTGGGCCAAACGATCATGCCAATGTAGGTCGCCCCCGCTCTAGCAGCCACAGCTGCGTCTTCTGGGCTCGTAATCCCGCACATTTTTATCAAAGGGCGCACCGCTTTCGAATTCAACCCCTCCGCCATTCCTTCAGATATTTGTGACGATTGCAAAGCCACAATTGGAGCTGCAACACCAGCTTGCGTTCCCCGAGCGAGCCTGCCGCACCCACAGTTCCGTCTGAGGAGAGGCGGCGACGAGGATCGGAACATGATCAAGGAAGAGGTGGAGGCATCACCCAGGCGGAGGGCGAGGCCGTGGACATGCCCACAAACTTGCAGCATGGCGACCTTCTCCTGAGACCAAACTCGGCAACAGTGCAGAGAGCAACTCCAACCAGATGGACGTATCCAGGAAAAACGCAATTCAGACTCAAGATGACATCGACAGCGGTGGAAGAAAGTCTATTTCAAGTGCATATACTATACCTGCACACGACGTCAAAGCATGCTTCCAAACCCCCGAACAAGGCCAAGCAGCTGGTCCTGCGAACCATGACCACTGGTGTCTCACCGGGCACTGCTTCTGAAAATAGAACCTGTATGTAAAATTACGAAATTTGGTATCCTTGTCGGATCACAAGGCTTCATGGTTGTGGGATGTAAGGAATCAGAATTTTGTGCTCGTCTCTTTGGTATGAACTATCTGACTATCTGAAATCAAAATAATGTCGAGCCAATGGGATAAACGTTAACGATTTCATGATATGTATTTGATTCCTCGATGAAAGGTCCTTTTTTTGTGTGATGTCAGAACCAAGTATCGTACTCATATCTTTCGGCACATAGATTATGTTGGGTATTGCTAAAATGTCTGAGAAGTAATCGTTATGCTGTTTCACTTACAACACTGCAAAAACTCAAAACAACCATATTTGAATGATTGACTCATTCTAAGATCATTAATGAATAAGATCGTAACCCACAAACCTAACCAGGAGGTGAAAGGCCCTGGGCTTGATACGTCTGGGGGCATCATAGATACTTTTTGTCGTAACATCAAGTTTCGTACTCTCTGTAAATACATCTCGCACAGCGTGCCAGCGTTTAGTGCTTTCAGGACGTGCACAGATAGTTTGAAAAAGTATCCTTAAGATGCAATTAAACTGCTTCCAGATTTCTTCACTTGATCTGCCACTTATAGCGACCAAAGAGGGTTCAGAAAGGATGAAAAGCATAAGAATCAAACAGGAATAAAAGAAGAAAAAAAAGAAGAAAAAAGAAACCTTACAGCTACTCTATTCTTTGGGCAGCAGCTACAGTTCACTTCAGAACCACTCCATCCACCTCTACTCTGCTCGACATTGACAATCCAATTCCCCTTTTGAGAATCTCAGCTCCACTTAACCACCTTCGTTACATAATTGGCCATCACTGCCAACATGATCCCACTGTTCATAAATGGCAGCCTGTGACAAAGGGCCTGCGCTTCTATGTCCTCCATCACCCTCAGATGCTGGCAAAGCGACTTCTCTTTCGTTTGTGAGGAAAGCCCCAGTATCCAGTTTACCAGAAACCTCTTGTGGCGGACGCGTACTCCCGGATGTAGAATTGTCTGGTGGAGCCTGAGCTTCAGTACATTGTGCTTGTGTAGGCAAATAAATGTTCGCATGGTTCGCTGGATGAAAGGATTGGGAATTAAAGACTCCCGGAAGAGGTTGCTGTGAGTAAGCTTGCTGACTAAGAGGAGCCTGAGAGAAGGACCTTCCACCCTGGCGAGGAGAGAAAGTAGCCCCCGAAGCAAAATCAGACTGGCTGGGGTGAAAAGCTCCACCTCCACTTCCCTGCGTTTGTCCTGGTTGCAAGAATGGCCCCCCTGGCTGAGGAACCCCTGAGACTTGTTGAGGCTCAGATTGTCCAGCTAGAGATTGTCCTCCTCTATCCTCTGTTCGAGTCCGCTTAGAAGCACCCTGAACTGGTGAGCCTTCAAGCGCAGGCGGGTTGGCGAATGTTTCAAAGCCATACTGGGTCTGAAAAGGTTGCTGAGGAGGAAGAATGGTCGCTTGAGTTAGTCTCGTGTTGCTAGTAGACACGGGCACTGGTGGTAAGCTGTTTGAGGCAAGAGTATCGCTTTGTGGAACAGAAGTTAAGGGTAATGCTGGCTTGGTATTAACCAAACCAACCTGTCCTTGGGTTGTATCTGTCACTGTAGGTGTTGCACTATCAGTTGTAACACCTGGACGATTATTGAGAGAACCAACTCTTTGCTGCTCTTCGATAATTTTTTGTAGATACTTCCCTTGTGCTTCAATTCGTAGCTGTAGATGTCGTTGCACCTAGTTTTTTATTTTTATTTTCCAGATTTTAAAAGAAAGAAAACAAAATCAGTAAAATCCATCAGTAATACCCAGCAAAATATAATTCTACATCTGTCACACTTCCATCTACACTTCGAAACATCTCAGAGTACAACTGTTGACAGCAAACAGGGTCAGAGAAGATACCTCTAACTGCTCATGCAATCGTTTCTGCACTTCCATCTGCATGCGCAAAGCCTCGGTGATTTGAATCCCCCTAAAACAAGAGCAAGGTTGGTTACTTGGCCACCTAGATGCCAAATACTAAGATATTTGTACGACATCCCCCATCAAAACTCCCAAAATGGTTAAACTTGATACAAAGAGAAAAAAGTTATCACAAGAGCTTACGAGGTTGCATCCAGGGTTGGCAGCAGATCCGTTGGGTTATTCTTTTTATCCGACTTTCCTCCTGTTACAATTAACTCACTGTCAAATTTCATAAAAGCGCAATGCAATAATTAAATTCCAGCCATGTCTCATTGTCACACATGTTCAACACATTGTAATACCCGTCCCAGAGGGATAACCTCTTACCACCAGTCAGCAATTGTCTTGCCGCTAGCGCTGGAACCTTTGAACATAAAGCTTATTCTCAACAAGTAATGTACAACAGATTAATCTAAAGGAAAAAGATAATCCAAACTTACCATCTGATAATGATTCGGGGATATACTTTGCCAAACGATACTTCTGCAGCCGGAAATGCACAAAATCTTAGCGTGTCTCACACTAGTAAAGATTGAAATACATAGTTGATTGACCAGCACCATTGTAAACATTTATTGTTTTATCCAGATGTCATGGTCGTCCACAAAATAACACACCTGCAACCTGGCGTCAAGGCAATGATGGAACAACGAACTTTCATATTGACTATTGATTCTCAATCACTTGGTGCAACTACAGATATCACAATGAAACTCGCATGAATGGTGATCAATTACCTGCAAGTGACTTTTCACGTGATAAATGGTTAGACCTTGCACACCCATGACTCGTAGGACACCTTTAGGAGTTGCCCCTGGCATGTGGAACATACAACGCAATGGTTAAATAACCAGAAGCATCTAAATATCCCATTCGAGTAAGCAGAAGACCTGTCCCAAAAGACGACAGAAGTCATTGGCAAATTATATATTTATAAAAGAAATTAGCATACAACTAGAATGAGTGAAAGTGCAGAAAGTACTAAGCAAAAGTAATAGCCATAGAGTAAACGAGATGCTCTACAACACTATCCCAGATTAGATCCAGGAATGCGAAGCGCCTAGAGATCGGTAGAAAGGTCCAAAATCCTAATACATATTTGCTTTTCCACCACCGCTCCGGATCAATCCAACAGTTTGCCAAGTTGAAAGAGAGCTTACGATCAGGGCCGCCCAATTGGGTGACGGCATCCACAAAGCGGTCATGGAGCTCAGGAGTCCAGCGTAATCGCTGCTTCGTTGCTGAGCCACCACCACCAGAGCCCCCTCCCGGACTGCCGGCCGAATTAACAGAAGCTCCAGCTGCACTTGACCCTCGAAGCTCTAGTGCCTGACTTGCAGACCTCTGGGGCATTAAGCTGGTTGTGGAAAACTTCTTATTCTGATACATGGTCTGCAAAGTCAAGACACCATTCGGTTGAAACAGAGATGCATTGGACTAAGCCCCAACGACAATTCCCTCGTTAAATGAAGCGATTGCGAAACAAAGCCTTCAGTCGTGAGGAAAATCTGCAAAACACTCTATTACGGATGAATCCCGACATCAATACTGCCACGACCCCTCATTAATTTAAAAGCACGATCCGACTTTCATCCAATGAGAAAGTTAAAAGCGGATATAGTAGAAGACTAGCACAGTGGACTTAGCCGGACTCTTCTAAGAATCAATTATACATCCATGAGCTTTAAATTTAGTTGCTACAGCTGCTTTTTACAGAGGGGGCTGGTGCTCAGCCCAAATGTGCTATCGATCAGAATTGTATCGGATAATTCAGTGTGGCGGTAACAAGCGACTTCTGTCCCAAGAAATGGCAGACGTGTGAGTTGGCAAAGAAAGATTGAGATGGACGCTGGTAGGGACTTGGGACCAACCTTGGCGGATTGCCTTCACGTAACACAGAATCGTGGCATGTGCAACCACAAAATGTGATGCAAAACTCTGTTCTGGAAGGGAAGAAGGGAAAAATATATAAAAAAAAACCCCCCACGGATCTTAAAATGTTCTGCGCGTATCCCGAACCTTAGTTCTCCTGGAACAAAGACTACCTCTGAAAAATTCACAAACTACGTATTCCGTAATCACGTCCTTCATACATGGTCCATGGTCTGAAACACGATTCTCCAAGCCAATAAAACCACGAACTTTTTCCTTGTAACCATCGGAACTTTTATCTCACTTCATGAGATCAAATCCCCAGTTCACTCAAATTCAACTAGAACCCACCATCCACACCCTGAAAGATAGTTCAATGTAGAACCTTCACCAGCCACCAAACTCACGCATTCGCGTTCATTCGATAAAACTCCTGCACCTCAACTAATCCCTAACACATAGCGTCACAATCCTTCCTTCCAACTCCTCTCAAGCTTGGAGATCAGCATCCACCTTCCAACACTTTCACCAACTAAGCCCACATCCCAAATTCCAAATTCTAGCTGTGAATGTTTAGCGCTTTTCTACACCGAAACCCTAGAGGAGTAAAGATGAAGAGAGCTGGGACAAGCCAACAGCGGTGGATAATGTTGTAACAGCAATCTCTACGGCCTAGTTCGTCGTCTTGATGAAGACATGATGGCGGCGATGATTGCACTAAGGCGGGACCAGACCAGCACCCTCTACAATGCTCTTCGCCAGCTTCTTTGTAAGTGTGCAGCTATTGGCCATAAAAAACAGAAAACAAGACTTCCCAGAGTTCGAAGGACCCTCCGCACTCGCAATGGCCACTTGTTGACTTACTGCTACCAAACCATACCAGCTTCGCTACTCTCTCTCTCGCACTTGTATGATCTGTCCTTTCCTCCTCTTTTGTCTTTGTGGGAGCTCAGTCCAGGCTCGAGGTTCTACCCAAGGCTCCAGAACCCAGGACTGGCGCATGTACCTGTTTACAATTACTCCGATTATTGTTACCGCCTTATCCCATTATGACGAATTTGACTCTTTCAAATTCGGGAGGCAATCAATACTCACCAACATCCGATTGGTTAGATGTTCTATGGTGTACTGCTCCAGCCCCAATTAATTTGCAATAACTACGGCTGTTCTCCTGTGATATGGGACGAGTTAGACTTTTGCATTAGTTACTTTAGATAGGTGCCAGCTACACACCACACTCTCCCCTCGGTCTTAACCTCCAGTGTTGCTTGAAGGCGACCCTGTCACTGCATTATGTGGGCAATGATGGGGCCCATCCCCACATAATGTGATTGAATTTGTTGCCTCAATTGCGGACTCTTTAAGAATTCCTCAAAGTATGCTTGCTGTGTGAACACTGGTGAAGGCAAGGTTCTCATCAGTACACCACGCATTTTTTTTTTTTTTTTTTTTTTTTTTTTTACTTCCGAGTTACTTGCTCGGAATTGTCGCCTTATGTCACATAGGTAGACACGGTAGATCCGGGTCGTCTTTCCATACCCTGAAATTTGCAGGAATGTTTCCAAGGTGATTGTTGCAGAGTACACCTTGCGTGATTTGGTGCATAATTATCTCACTTTCTGATTCAATCAACTTTTGATCGTGCGCACATGATTGGACATTAATCACCACCCCGATCCAAAGAATTCGGCTTACGAATGATAAGGACCTTGGGAATCGGGAGCCAGGACAGATTAAGTCATGGAGCGGATTGCGTAAGAGTAACTGGCACACCGGCACACTGTCGTTGTCTGAAGAATAGTAAAATCATTGGACAGGGCCTCATAGAATCGTTGAAGCTCCGAGTAATAATGAATGTTGTGGTAGCTCTCCCGCGCTTCAACAGCTCGAACCAATCAACAAACTCTTCATTGGACTCGTGGGGGTCCCAGAGGCACACATTCGTAGGGGGGTCTGCATACCAGATCCTGGCCATTGCTACTAACGAACTACCGAGGGTGAGTGCGTACCATGTACACTGGCGCCGGAAAGGCGGGAAGAGGCTGAATATGTCTTTCGTGAGCAGTGTGCGTGTTCCACACGTGATTTGAAAAACGTCCTACTTTCCTTCTAGTGAACTGGCTGGACACGTCCTTCACCAGAGAAACGTGTTCCAAACGTCCCATTCCGAAGAACAATCCGGGGAACCTCTACGATGTGTCTACCCACAATTAGTGTTCAAAACGTATGATTTTGCCGAGTGCTTGCCCATGGGCAGTTCAAGCAATTTAAAAATCCAACAATAGTGTCAAATTTCGGAGAGTCGCACAGGTATTGAAGTTCCTACTTTGTGACATACATGAAATAATCTACCCCAAAAATGAGCCACTCTAATGCGATTATGTATTCCAGCTGACGTTATCCAGGAATCCAGATTCATGCATCTATGCACGTGCACACTTCGTCGCACAACTCCCACACAGGTCACATGTTTTTCATTTACCAGATGTTTCTGTCCGTACAAAGAAGGTAGTGTGATTCCTACGTGCAAAAGGAAGTCCTGGTAAAAATGGAATGTCGTCCTCCATGAATCAAGCTCCATGTAGCAAAACTAGACGTATGCTGCATTCTAAAATGTTTTTCAAAACTGAAATATGTTGCAGCTTACGTTGTACGAACGAAATTTGTGTGATCCATATTACATATAATAGGCTATCGAAAATAACGAAATACTGACACGAGCATAGTCCCAGAGATAGAATTTCACCTTCACTAGCTTCCCCACGCCTTCATCAATGAGTAGGAACAGATTCTGCAAAACATCAACCAAAAGGGGGATTTTGAAACCATACAGACAACATCAATTTCCTTCTGAGTGGATGCAAACTAAGTATCATGGTTCCTGCTTAACCAACTGCGAATTACAGAAGCCATCTTAACACAACTCCAAGAAAAGAAGGCACGGCTTTTCAAGTCGTACACAATGTTTCACCAGAAGTTGAGGACGTATTTCACAGTTCGCACAGCAACGCAAAGATGATACGCTGGTAAAATACAGGCTGCGGTCCAAAAAACTGGAAGCAAACTTACTGTCCAAGCAACCCTAAGTTGACTAAAACAAGGAATATCAGAGATGACCAAATCTTCCCAAGGAAGTAAGAAATGTTCTCACTTCCAAAATTATCCTGACATAAGCATGAGGAACTGTTACAAACTTAAAAACCCGTTCAGCACTGGACCAGAATCTGTGAAGTCAATTCTACAAGCACCTGATCGAAAGCACAAAAATAAAATAAATAAAATAAAAATTAGCTTCACCCTCAGAAGATCGTCTATCGCTTATGAGTCAGGATATTAATGACTCAAAATGGACAAACAGCCAATACTCTTGTTTGAGTGCCATAAAAAATCAGAGGCTGATATCGTGGCGCCTGTAAATACACTTATTGTGAGAATGATGATTTCTCACTGAGCGGAGTTGCCACAGCAAATTGCAAGCACATATAACCCAAACAAGGTCAATAACCTGCTTTCAAAGAGTAGGCGATCAATATGGCTTCAGAAAGAAGGAGCTGGCACAAACTGGCATAGAAAAAAATAATAATGATAATTTAATACCAACACTAAACAAAAACACAAAACATCACATCAATTACAACCATTTGGCAATTTTAGAGCAGTTATTGAACCTAACTATCACATCCATTGACTGTCGGGGGATACAGATCACCTCTCAAGTGTTTACTTAGTACCTGACAAAAACCAATGAGGCTCCTCTGGTTGCCAAGAACCTGCGCAGAATATGGCACCATATGTCAGTAATAGATCATCAAGTTTTCTCCCTATTCAATACATAATACCATGTGCAGCTTGTGCTAAATTCGATACCAAACCCAAGAGGCAACAAACGCTGCATGAATCTAAGAGTTGATCATCTTGATTGGAGCGAGAAAAATAAGATCAAGCCACCACCTGTCAAAAGCTCCATGGAAAATCGTATCCATAAGAGACAAAACATTTGGCCTTGTTCTAGGCTTGCATAGTCATAAATTAGTGTCAGTTGGGCAGAATTAGAGAAATGTTAGCAGCAAGTACCTTAAAGTCGTGACGTAAAAAAATTCAGCAAATGCTAAGTCAGATGCACGGGTCAGAGGGTGATCAGCTTCACTTGGTCAAACATTGAAATGGTAAAACTAAATCCACCCGATCACAAATTGTAAAAATGAAGCACTTGGAAATCCTAACTCCTCGATAGTTAGTGTCAAGAGATGCGATATACCAAAAGTCTCACTTAGTTAAGGACACAAATATTAATATTCAAATAAACTTAATTTAAAAGTACCCACCAACATCCCCTTTTAGGGCACATGGCTGTCAATGACACCGTATCACAAAGAAAACTCTGCAAAGTCAAGTTTGACAAATATGTAATCTAAACTACCCTATCTCTGGTCAGTAGAGTTTGCAAATCCTAAATATGAAACCCCAATACTCGGTTGCCAATGACCAGACACTGAGCAAGCCTCAAAAATTCAGAGCCGTCTAATAAAACTGAGACACAGTGCCTCCCGAACATTCGTGCGCGGTGCTAGTCCCTGTCTACATCTACACCACGTCTATCTAGTGGACAATTACACATCTGACAAGCAGGTTATGAAACCATAGAGTCGGTTCTTCAATGAAGTCATTTATAGTAGTTAACTGCACCTTCTTGATAGCCAAGTATTGCCACAGGTTGTCAGGCTTCATTTGAAAGTGCTGATTATCCATTGATGCCATCTCAGAAAGAATCTTCGAAAATGAGGAGCAGAAAATCTCGCCAAAGATATTCCCAGGATGGTTCGGAGAATCACGAATTTGGAAAGTTCTTGATATTACCTATCGCCGAGTTTTGGCACGCTTCATTTCTGGATTGTTAAAAGGGGATGCTGCGCCACTTATGAATGCGGGACTCTCCTCACGTAGAGTACCATTTAACATGGCAAGTTCACGGAGCTGAGCCTTCTTTACAACATCAAATGTCTCATCCTGAAGAAATCTTACACCAGCGCACTCCTAAGAATAATAATTTTCACATCCCAAGTATGACAACACAAATTCAACTGAACAACAACCAAGAACGTAACTAGGAACTTAGACTACCAAGATGATAATTTTAGATTCTTTTCTGTGAAATGAATTCTTTCTTCAGTGGTCGACAAAATCCGACTTGGACTTACCACGGGCTTGAGAAGTTCCTGAAGTATCTCGCGGGCATGAATAAGTCGCTGCTCAATAATATTAGCTGGAAGCTCTGCCTCAATCAACACGTGCAAGGGCTCATTCAAATGCTCGAAACCAGGTTTATCCCTCATTTTGTCTTCCTGCAAACAAACATACTCATCGACTTAAGAAATTCTAATCAAACAAAACAACAGACTTTCAATTTGAAAGAGCCATTTACGGATCAATTGCTAAATCTAGAAAGGAACTTTGGATTTATGGAGAAAGATTAAACGAAGGCGTGTAGGCTTGAAGAATGCGAACGGCAAGATTTGAAACCTATTGAATACAGTCACACTTCGGCAACTTTCAAAACCGGCCTGACCTTGGCAGTGTCTTTAATGGAACCCCGGCCGCGAATTAACACACGGCAACCTGTTGTTGCCTCAACTCGCTTCAGAGAATTTCCGCGGGGACCCAAAATTCTCCCAACAAAATTGTACTGCGAGTATTCAAAAATCTTATCACGTTAACACGAATAGAAAAAAGCTTGCGAATGGTTATGCGCGTAATCTACAGATTCAACACCGAAGCGGCAACATTCACAGAGTGCCGCACAATCAGCTGACAAAGCAATTAGATAATGGTATTCAGTAGATACATTGGGGTACTTATCAACAGGAACGTCAATACGTTGAGTCCTCTTCACTATCGGCCCAGCTAGGGTGCCAGGTGTCCCATGCCAGCTTGATTGAGGTAATCCAAGCCTCTGCAGAATCGCATCCATAAATCATCAATAACAATAACGGAGAATTATCTACACAGGACGAGCACAACACGAAGCCTCAAAACTATAGTTGCACGTGCTAAGCAAGCTGATGCACTGTAAAGGTTGACTTTAAAAATAGAGTGATCAAGAGCATACGTCTCCCCAGCCATTTAAGTCGCCTGAACCACCGTTATTTAGAAGTATTCCCGATGAAAGGGGACTTCCATGCCCATGCTCCAGCCCATCTTGATCAAGGAATGACGAATTTCCAACAAGCGCCGTCACACGTACAATCTCTATCCAATGAATGCTCAGAATATTAGAACTGAACTTGTACAATAATTTACTACAGGAGCATATTGATTATAGGCTCATATATCACAGGAACGATACGGATACTTATTGACTGTTGGATATAAATTAGTGAGTGGATAAAAGTCCATGGGTTAACTATTTGACTGCAACTAAAGGTCCTATCTGAAATAATCGCTTGCTGAGGTGTAATACAAAGGAAACATTAGAAGAACAAAAGTACCAAAAGTAAAACTCACCTTGATTTAACAAACGACTACAGTTGGGAAGAACTTGCATAAAAGGGCCTAAGTTCTGTCTCTCCGCGAGAAGTTCAGAGAGATACCTGCATATCAATTGTGAAGTCGCCTGGTCAGAAAATCCTGTTACTGCAGTAATTGAAAAGCCAGAACTGCAAATTCAACTACTAAGCCTCTGCGAGTGTGTCTTCTGCAACTCTGCCATCCGGACAAGATGAGAGTTGATAAACAGGAAATTTCTTAGCGTAGGGGACTCGTAGCTAAGACGCACTTCCTAATTCTAAAATGGAGGCTCCGATACTGCAATGCAAGAGATAACTAGATGAATTTGTTCCTAAAAACCCAAGTACCTACTATATTGGACGACACGAGAAATGTGTACGGCCAAACAATAACGATGAAAGAGTCGTGTCCCATTCATGTACACAAGACCTACGGTTTAAAACAGTATGCATGACCCTAAAACTGGGAACCATAATTGAATCCGTCGGATTGCAGTTCGCTAAAACAATAAGTAGTCCAAAAATTTCATACTAAAGTATTTCCAGTTTCAAATCGTATCAAGAGTCGGTGAAGTAAGAATACAGACTACAGAACCAGCGTGCTCTTCAATGATGTACTCAATTGGCAGTTATAAAATACAATGATTAAGGACAATGTCACAGCTACAAGAGGATGGACTAAATTAGCGATTGACCTCATCAATCAATATCGTGGTTACATTTCCTATCTAACCCCCGCCCGCTGGCTCCGTGCGCAATAACAAGCAACGAAATTGAATCAAATCAACAGAAATAGAAAGCAATCCAAACACCATAAAACAGCTTCCACAATACAGACAGCGACGACGGAGGCAGAGTGGGGCAAGCGAAAAACGTACTTGTCGTGCTCAGCAACGGCACTCAAGGGACGTATGCCAAGTTGTGGAGAGCCTCCAGCCGATGGTGAAAACTGCATGTATCTCCCTGCCATTCCTCTCCTACTCTCCAACCCGACCCTGCACTACACACTCCACCCGCTCCTCCTACTCCAATCCACACCACTCCCACCGCTTTCTGCCCAACTAACACACCGCCATCGCGAATCCAACCATCATCCGCCAAAACCACCTTCCTCTCACCGACACGCCCTAAAGTCATTTCCAAAACTCCGCACACTCATCCTCGCGCTCCACCTCCAGAATTTCAAAGCGTAAATCCACAATATATCTCTTGAGCTTGTACCGGGACTCGAGCTCGAGAACGGAACCCCTGTGCTCGATGAACTGGAGCAATTCCCTGGACTCACACAACTGCACTATTGCACGAAGAAACGAAGGCGGATATCGACAGGCTCGGGAGTAGAAAAGCGGCGTAGGCGTAGCAACGAGAGGAATAGGTAGAAAGGGGTAGGGAGAGAGGGGAATAGGCGTAGCTGGACGACGAATGGATCGGCCACAACCTGTCCTCCGCTAATTCGCCTGTGCTGCAGTGGTGGGAGACGAAGAAGCTGCACGATGAGCAGAGCACAGCACAGCAGACCAAAGCAATGTCGGGTGAGGGGTGAGGGGAGATCCCAGTTGACGGGGTTCCAATGGCGCTGCTGCTCCCGCCCCCCTTTGATGTCGTCCGGCATGGAGCAAGAGTGATCGAGCCATCATCCATCACCATGTCTGTCTGGGCTGGCCTGGGGTGGTCGCCATTTTCGTGTTCCAGCGTGGTTCACTAACCAGCGAAGCCTTCAGGGCCGAATCAAGCAGGCAGGGCTCCCTCGAGGAATATGCCCTCCTTGTGCATCCCGAGCTATTTTTAGCCCCGTCGCCTCGTTCCTCCTCCTTCACTCTTCGGAGCTGCTCTTCCACACTCTTCCACAGCGACGCCGAGAAAGGCGACAAAAGTGACGTTCGTCACAAGCATCGTCGCCGGTGACGTGGAGCGCCGGCAGCTATGGGCAATGCTGCACAAGTTATTCATATTTCAATGGAGAAGAATTTTGAAAACTTATTGAAAATTTTAGTGATAGAAAATCGCAACTTTATCTTTTTGGAATAACTGAATCAAGATAAAATTTCTTTGAAATTTTGTAACTAACAATACCAGAATCTAACACTTCTTATGATTTATCTGCAAAGCTTCTGATGAGTGATTTTTTTATAAAATATCCAAAAACTAAAATATTAATATAGAATTTGATTCTAAAAAAAGAAACGAAAAATTATAAAAAATTAATTTATTGTTTTTGGAATTCATGTATTGTATATTTATTGTGATATGATTACTTTTTTACTAAATAATAAAACTTAAAGAAGTAGAAAAGGCCAATTCTTTTTAATCTTATTCATTTTTTTCATTCTATCAAGAAACACCAATAATATCAAATGAGCAAGAATTGATGTAACCACTTATAAAAAAAGATAACAAATTTTATTCCATAATCCAATCATCTAAAGTAGATTGCTTAATTTTGAAAGCAAAAAAATTATGTTGCAAACTTTGTAGGACTTGACATATTTCTAAATGGATAATTTTGGTAGAATCAAGAAGCAAGATGGCTTAACTAAAGATAATTAGTTACTTAATACTTTAAGTTCCTTAAAATTTTAAAATTTTAAATCTTAAATCTTTTTTTTAATTTGGTTCTTATTGAATTGTATATTATATTTTAAAGTAACAATATCAATAATTAGAAGCATTAATAATGCCAACATTCATAAGTTAGATCTTAGAGTTTGAGTTCGAGAGTAGTATGAATATGTTTATATTACTAAAGTAGATGTCACTGATATTGTCTAAAAGGATATTGTCTAAGAAAATAAGAATACAACAATCAATTGAGGACATTTTTTGTCCAAGCTTCCTAACTATTTGTAAAAATGAAGTTAGTTATCTATGTTTTTTGATTGTGATAATAACAAAAGATAAATTGATTATTTAATTAATTAATTTATTTTTATATTTTAAGATAACATGTTATATTGAAGTGACAAAGATAAATGGCTTTTATTTATCAAAAATATATATATTGATTATAAATATTATGGTAAAATATGTGTTGTCTTTTTTATACCTTTTAATTTAACATTTTAAGATGGAAAATTTGGCATCATTTGATAGAAGAGTCCATTTTCATCTATATTGTAAATTCCTTGGATGTTATATTCTATTATCTTTATTTATAGGTCTAAAAGTTAAAAAAATATATAGTTATTAATAGAATTATTTTTTAGTATATAACTTGTATATTTTTGAAATGTAATATTGTTGAAATTTTTATAACAAGGCATCAGAGGAGATTAGAACATTGTTGCTTACTCGTAATGATACAACAAGCAACTTAGTATTTTTTTTTTGTATTGTATAAATTAAAATATTGACATAACAAGTCTTGTAATAGAATATCTAAAGTGCCAGTGCACTATCATCCTAGTGATTCATAGCAATACATTTTCTTTTTGATATTACACTTGGCATAATTGGTATTCTCAAATGAATCTCTTTTAGCTATGATGCTATTAATTATACCTTGAAAGATACTTCTTCTAAAATGTTGAATGTTTTTTTGGCCCAAGTACAAAACAACTTTTGGTTTTTTAAAGACTTAGCTTGATTATATTGGCAGAGTTCTTATTTCTATGGATTTTTCACTTTTACAAGTGAACACCTTTGAGAGCTTGTACAACATAGAGATGAAGTCATTTCAAATAAACATGCTTAAAATTTGAGTAATCAACATTGTTGTTTCATAATATATCTATTAAGTAAAAAAATAAAAATAAAAATGGATTATATTACAAAAGTGTTTAATTTAAAATTATAGTATCAAATCATTTTTAAAAAATATAAATAAAACATAGAAAGTAAATAATATTTTTAGTGTTAAGAAATATTTTTAATAATAAAAAATATTTATTTATAGGGCTATAAATAAGATAAAATAAGATAAATTAAAAAATAAATATATAAGAATCTTTAGATAAATATATAGAATAGTGTTTAATAAAAAATCATATAAAGAAACCTTAGATTGATATCCAAAGAAGATTAGTTGTGAATCAAAATTGAAACTAAACATTAAGATACAAAATCGCTCATCTATGAAAATTGTGAGTTTTTTTAACATTGATCAAAGACTCAAAGTGAAGAAAAAAATCAATAAAATTTCTTTAAGCATTGATTTAAAAGGATATGAGTAAAAATGAACTTGTGAGACCTTTGTAAAGTCAAAGTTGTTTTAGATGACTCCAAATTTAGTAAATAAAAAAAGATTTATATTTTAAAAAAAATTGTGAATTTTTAGCAAATCTTCAGATACAAATTTGTGGATTTGTGATAATAATCATGCTAGATGCATACTGTAAATATTAGCTCAAATAAAATTTTAGATCAAAAGTTATTGAATTTCTAGTAGATTAGGATATTAGAAATTGGATTTTGAAGGTCAATGAGAGTATGTATGATTTTAATCAATTTGTTAGTTGAATTAAAATGATTTTTTTTGTGAACTAATAGTTAATTTTATTTCTAACATTTTTGCAAATTTTTAAAGCAAGGTAATAGTGCAAAAATATTGGTATTAGAAAGTTGATATTAAGATTAGATAAGGAGGATGATCTACATCTAAGAAAATTATTCGCTTTTCCTTCTAATTGGTATATTTGATCTTTTTAAAATTTTGTGTAGTTTTTTTTAATTAATAGATTGAAAAGTTTGTAACCAAGATAAATAATTAAATAAATAATTAATGAGATTTTAAATTTAATTAGGATTTTTTTTAAATACCTTTTAGAATTGATTAAAATATATTAGGATTCATTTAGCATCAATATAGGAACTAATTAGGGATTTATTTAAGATTATTTTGATATTTTATTAGGATTTGTTAAAATTTACTTAAAATTTAATTAGGTTCAATTAGAATTTATTGAGATTTTCTTTAAGATTCTTGGTGATTTTTTAAAGGTTTTTTAGCATTTGATTAGGATTTTTAATGTTAGATTGGAATTTATTTAGGATTTCTTTAGGGTTATTAAACTCTTATTTAGTTGCAAAAGACAAGTATATCTTCTACAACCAAGTGTCTTATATTTTTCCAAACAAGACTATATAATATGATAATGTGTAATTTCAAGAACACAATTCTATCACCATTGCAAACAAATAAGTCCAAGCACAATTACATAAGAAAGTATCTTCAAAAGACTTTTCTTCACAATTGTTAACTTGCTATAATAAATACAACTTACTACAAATGTAATCTAAATACTCTAATTCAATTAGCAAATGTATTCTATAATCCAAAGAATATCAATATTGATAAAAGGGCCATTAATAAAATTAATAATAAAAACAAAAACAAGCTAAAATTCTTTACATGACACTTGTATTTACTACAATTATAATTGAGAAACAAAAGAACATTTACTTACCTCACATAGTGAATTATTTGACAAAAAAAGACCTTAATTTTTAAACAAATATGTTTTACATTAAATATTTTAAATTATAAGACACTATACACTTGTACCTCTGTAAATTATTACAATTTGTAGCTGAGCCTTATATTATATTGACTTGTATTATTTTCAACTATTGATTGTAAGAAGGTGTATATTTATTTCTTAATTCATAATACTTTGAACATGTAAAAGAACGAATTTAATCATCATCTAATGCTAGAGACCAAAATATGACATGTATTAAGAACTTTTATTGCTACATAAAATTGTCAACTATATTATAGTTGAAAACATGATCGATTCAAATCCCTTGACAATTTCTTCTTAGAATCCAGAAGTGTAACAAAAAGTGTATCAATATTCCACACCAAACCTTTCAGAAAATTCCTCCCACTTTGGTGAATCTTATGATTCACTTCTTACATAATGTAATGCAATGGATTTCTGGAAAATGTATACAGATTATTACCAGAAGGTTTATGTTTACATTTGCTGCAAAAAATGTAATCACAGGCAGTACAAGAATGATGACACTGAATTGGGAAGAAGTTCCAGTGGACGAAATTACCGTCCAGAGCTTTTGACTCTAGGGGACAAACCTGAAAAAGAAATTCCATACATATCTGGAATCAAGATAAGAAACCAAAAACCGAGATCTTTATGATAAAAAAATACAGCTGTAGGCTCACACAAACTACTTATCAGAGCAGAATCATTGGCGTTGCGTGAAAACTTCAGAGGTGGGAACTTGGAGATGCAATTCTTGCTTATTGGAACAAAAAACTAGAAGTACCCAATCAGCCACAGCACTGATTACCTCGCAGGCTGCAAAACACGGTCTGCGAGCTCTTCAAATGACTTGACATCCACCTTCCAAAGCCTGCAATCAAGCATTGTTTTGGTCTACAGCTGGCAGCAATATAGTCGCCAAGTATGAAAGTGGTTTACCGTGACTAACCCCTAAAATGGGTATTTAGCATCAGATGTGATTAAAAGAGTGAATACAATAAAGCAGTAATTGAATCGTAAAATGTATTAGACTTACCATGATTCTAAACCGGCAGCCAAAGCCCCTTGCTTGTCGTTTGTTGGGTCATCGCCAACATGCACAGCAGCTGATGCATCAACATCAAGTTCATCTAGATGCAAAACAGAGAGCATGGACGTTGAAATTACGCAACCGTTATGCAAGCTTTTTGGATGAATTTGCACATTACATGAAAGACAACATGAAATTTCTCCTGCTTAGTGTGGGCCTCCAGTAAATCTTCAGTAATGACACGTTATATATATGGACCGAATGAAATGAACTAACTCACTCAAAGCAGCTTGGAATATCTCTCGAGATGGTTTCTCATAACCAACTTCTGCCGAAATGATCAGCGCGTCAAACCTGCGGTTACAGGTGGAATCCATGCGATGCTAAGATCAGGGAGTAGATTCTGAAGCAAACTATTGATGCAAACCAATTACCACGACAAATTATTCAAAAGATATTGGCTCTTTGTTCCAAACAAATGACAAAGCTATTGATTATAGAGGTAAAAAGATAACAGAGAAATACAGAAGACACGTACAAAGTGTCAATCTGCAAGTCCCGCAAGACAGGTCGTAGCCTTGAGTCGAAGTTAGAAACCACAGCCAGCTTTACTTCATTCGCAAAGGAGCACATTGTCAAAGAGCGTGAGTGACACGTAAATATTCAAACTAACATTTTCCATGTGTAGAACAAGCAGTGGAAGCTTTTACGCTGTAATATTTGTCAAACTTACCTCCAGCGTTGTGAAGCCGTCTAAGAGCTTCTGGTGCTCCACTGGCTATTTTCCATGCGTCGCCCCTGGCAAAATGCTGTCATGCAGCTCCCATCAACTTCCAACCGAAATAGAATTCAGCCAATTGAGCGTAATTTTTTTGGTTTTGCTCTGTTCAGGAACTTACTTGGTAAAGTTCCTCGAAATATTTCTCGTCAGAACAACCCGTAGCTGTCGCTACTGCGTAACGCCAGAAAGGTCTCCCATCTCCCTGTTCCATGATCATCGCTAAATTCAATGACGAGTACCACTTTGTGATCGTTATAAATGATTATTTGAGGGTTAGGTCCTATGCAACTGGAAGAAGAATTCGCTTCGTGTGCATTCCAATATCATCCGAAAACACTGAAAAAACGTAAAACATGCACGATGATCGCTAAAATGGGTCACACATGAATACAAATCCCACAAACCTCGTATCGTAGCCGCTCTGGCCATGGCTCAGCAAATGCTTTCTTGAAGCCCTTCTTAATGTTGGCAGGTGCGGTTTTAACACCTATGCAAAGTGGCAATCACAAGCCTTCGTTAATGACAGTACAGAAAACGAGCTTAATGAGGATCGTCAAAACAAAACACAATTAAAAAAAATGAAAAAATAAAATAAAAAAGAGCTTTCATGTTACCAGAGAAAACTATCCAAATGTGTAGAGAAATAAAAGGTACAAAAACTGTCACAATCTAAATGTACAGTTAGCACCCAAAAAAGCATTCTCCCTCGGTTAGAACCGAAGCGGCATCCGAATCCAATGCGGAAGCTCGTCTTAAGTGTCCTGCTGAGTTCAATTCATCTGAAAGAATTTTAAGAAACCCACCATGCTTGGCACCAATTCTGGCGTAAACTTCCGGCACCGGCTGTGCCGTCTCCAACAATGTGCCCCCGACATCCAGCAAAAGAGCGCCATACCCCTCCAGTGGCTTGGATTCACCACCTGTATGTGTCAGCACTGAATCACTGGTTTAGCCCACAGGACAATCTACACACACAACAACAAAATCTTGTGAAACCCAACTGCGAGTTATTCCACTCTAACCTGTCGCGTATGATCTATTGGTTAATGAAGCTTGCGCGCGCAGCTGGCCCAACTTCAATGTCCATTTGGGTGCGTGCCTCATATGTCCACCGGCCAAGGGATGCAACAACGTCATGGTCTTGGCTGACATGCTAAACCCCATCACACCAACCTGTGGCCCTCGATCACCACCAGAGCCCACCAATTCGGTTGTCAACTGTATCTACAATACTCTCTTTGACGGATAAAATCTACACTACGTGCCCTTCGCAGCAACTTGTCATTCGGACGAAATGAAATTAGGTTACAGAAATTGCGGCATTGCATCAAAATTTTACAACAGGATTGTGTGAATTCTGCATGTTGCAACGACAACTCACTTCCCACCTTCATTTGCACAGCAATTGAGTTTTAATGTTTGTGGGAATCGTGAAGATTTCTCGGAATCACGATAACAAATTTAGGCATGATCCGTTGTCAGACAAGTCAAACCTCATCCAGGAAAAGGGGGACACTTGAAAAAATTTCCTTTCAAATTACAAGGGTTTTACTGCGTTGCTGACAGAGCTATCTAAAGCGTTGTTGAATATGTGTCCACACGATTATGGGAGTAGTTCACAAGGATCAGTTCAGGTAAAGATGACGAATGTCTCATATCCAGCATGATTAATGTCCCTGGCGGAGGGAGTATCTCGTTTATGGAATTAGAACTGCTGCACCTAAAGCACAGCAATCTATAGACCACAAACAATGCTGGTTATTTCTTCATTTACGCATCTAATGCCACCATAGCTTGCAGATTGTTCAATGTTGATACATCAGGACCGACTAAAAAGGGATGGTAGCTTGCGACACATGCAAATTTAGAAGAAAGCTACAGCTGACAAGAGGGAAGACTAACAAAACAAGCTCGGCCCCAGTAGCAAGAGAAAGCAGTAAAGCCAAATTTTCATCTGATCTGATGAGATCAGGCCCTGAATGCCGTAACTCAAAGTGTGGAACTAAATAAATATCATTGCCTAAGGCGTACAAAGACTTCTACTCTCTTTCACTCATGCTAACTTTCAATACACCGACCATCTTTGAATAGCTCCGCTGCTTATGCCGCCGACCTGTCCCAAAAAGTCTATACAATACAGCTCTGGAGGAGTGTATTGACTGCAGCGGAATAAGAACTCCAGGCGGGCGGTTCACGCCTCGAGTTTGAGAGATTGACATAAAAGTAAAATCAGCTTTTAGAATAAAAGATCCAAACATTGAGGCGTATCCTGCAAGAAAATGTGATCACTTTAAACTGAAAAATAGGAATATAGCAACAATCAATCTGCCGAAATATAAGGCTAGTGAAAACCTCGCAGCTTTCATGATCTCATGGTCCTCAATGGATTCAGCTCTTATTAATGCCATTCAGATATACATTATAAAATTTGACAGTGTAAGGTTGAACCTTGATATAGAACACCAACTCTGAGGAATCATTTGCAACTATTCCCTTCTTCTATCCACAACCTAATGCTGCAAACCGATGGATACAAGGTGGTGGTAACATCCGGCTGTTGCCTGACCCATAATTTTCCTTCTGCAGCATGTTTCAAGCTTAGTGTTAGAAAAATTGGTCTACACCTAAATTTGTGGTATACCCATCATTTGCGCATCTAATACGCGGCATGAACTTAGTATGAAAATCTACGCGAAATTGATGCTTTACAGTTAAACTGATAAATAAATGTTGATGCATCAACAGCTTGAGAGTCACTATTATAATACCAGAGATTAGTAACATCTAATAGAATAAGTAGATAACTAGAGAACAGAATAGCAGGCAACATCCACCATTTCAGTAACCTACATGACAGATGAAGCAACGGTATAATTAAATACATACATGCAAAATGATGGGTATATTAGATGTCCGTAAAATCGGTGTATCATCCTGACCACCGTTTATTAGATTATTTGGTTTGTCATCAGACCTTTTTGAGGAAAATTAACAGAGAAAAAAGACGTACCAAAGGACATAGCAGTCATGGTGTGGCTATGGCCAGAATATGATTCCAATGCATGACCTGAGTACACCTCCATCTTATTTGAATGCACCCTACCACCTTCAAGCTCATGATGGACGTCCTGATCACAAATAAAAAATTCGAGTGAACCAAGTTCTGCAGTGAATCTAATCAATACCAGCAATAAACAAGTGATGGAAACAATTCAACATGTGATAGTACTTGCTGATGCTCAACATCCGAGTCCAAGGACACATTTCATGACGCATTCAACAAAACCTAATTTGAAGCATACCTCGGCTCTCAAAACATTTTGCCCACATCCACTGTCAACAAACATGTCAGATTTTTAGTGAAAACGCCTCATTGCTTCTACAGTGGACAAATTGAATAAAAATGTTTCTTACTCGTTGAATTTCAAATCATAACAATGGACCTTTAATGGCATCTTTTATTCCATCCAACCTAGTTAGAAAGTGTAACTACAAGACTAAAAGCATCCTGCTCTTCTTGACATCTGAATATCCTGCACGAGGATCACTTTTCAGCACAAAGACTCTATGCAGCTGGTTAACTAGTGAGAAATTGCCGAGCCAACCAGTTCGAACATTGTGCAATCTAAATGCTCAAAACAACGACGTGATCAGACTGTCAACGTCTCCAAAAATAAAAAATTTATTGGAATTGTTCAGAAGCAACTAAATCTTTAATCTTGTCCACTCTGATTAAGTGGCAAAATCCCTACCCTAATAGCATTGCCTTACACTGCTACTACATCGACATAAATCTCCACCCTACAATGTGGAAAATTGTCCAGTTCCACTGCCACGACATGTAGCTCAATTCAAGTGAGATTACAGGTCCTAAAACATTAACCAGTGCATATAACCACTCAGACTGCTCAAAGTCGTGTAAAAATTACATGAGTTCAGAAGGTGCCCACTGATAGAAAAGTACCCGACACACAGTTAGCTACTTTCAAGCCATTGTCATAAAATCATTTGTCAGATTTGATGTTGCCATTTTCTCAACATACCGGAAGAAGTAGATGAAGAGTCCATCGTCAAACCCTTGTTAAGATCCCCATGAGTTGACAAAGAGCCAGAGCTTGGTAAGTCATGCAACCCTCCCATACCATGCAGAGGACGACTCCAGCTCATGCTTTCCTCTATGTAGTTGATGTCATACCTATCATAAAAAACGGTAGGGCGAAACCCCCAGTAAACATTAGGCCAATTTTCTGTTGTTTTCAAGATCACTAATGAAAAAGACTAGACAGCCATCTATGTTCTCGAGGATCGTAGACAGAAAGTCATTCAAGTTTTGTTTCTGAGTTCTAGTTTCCCTTTTCGCATAAAACACGAAATTGTACAGACATTACACATAAACAGTATAAAGAATTGCCCTCATCATCTCAGCATTGACTGAAGCAAGAGAGGCACGGCTCGCGCTTCCATAAAGTTTTAGGGGTTTGAAGCTGTTCAAATATAGGATACTCACTGAAATGCGTCTTCAGTAACGCTTTGTAAAGCAGTATTTAACTCTTGGAGTGTTTTGCTATTACACTTCTCAGTCAACTGCAAAACCAATTGATGCACCGTCAATACAATAGTATCAGGATTATTCCGCGTTGCTATCCCTAAGACAAGCAATTGTTGATTATAATAAACATGTTAATTAAGAATGTAGGATCTATAATCATGATTCACAATCGAAATTAGTAGTAGCTACCTGCTGTAAACACAGTTCTACAGTCTTCCCAAGCATGGTAACTGCAGCACACCGCGTCTCTGGTTTTCTTAGCAGGGTGATTATAGTGGTGATAGCCCCTACAAAGGACAGATGAAACTTAATATCAAACCGTGGACACGAAGTGTAAACCAGAAGGGTCGCACAGATTGTGGAATCAAGGGGTGTTTGGATCTTCTTGTCCCAGCACTTGAAATATAAGAAATTAGATGTCTTGGACGCACCATTTATCGAAACAAATTCGAGGTTGACAAGAGCTGCAAAGGCTTCCGCATGAGCAAAAAATTCCATGCGACTTGCTTCCACTGGTCTCTTTACTGTCAAATGCTTCAAAACCTTCCAGTGTAACATGCGTCTTCATAAGTACATAAAACTCAAACAGAATTTCCTGTGCAATCAAAAAAGTCGGTCTTGATGACGACAAGGGGATCGCCCAACAAAAGTATGTTCCAATGCAATCTTCGTTTCCGTATCAACTAGCTTCAGACCAATATAAATATCGATGACAAACCAGATGTGAAGAAATACCTTAGGAATGAGAAAATCTCGCATCCTGGATTTAGCATGATCTGGTAGTCTGCAGGAAAGGACAAACCTCCCCACATAAGACAACAACTAGACAAATTACAACAATATGTGTGAAAAACCATTCTCGCTGGACAATAGAAGCAAGACACATGCAGCACTATGACTAGGACGAGCGCGACACATTAAAAAGGTGATTACGTGCCTAATAACAACTTTTGCACTGCACTGTCAAGCTCTATTACCTCAATCGCACTTATCCATGAAGTGATAGCCATCCATGTCTTTAAATTCTAACTTCAAATGCCTCATCAAAATGAAATCTAATCTTAAGATTATCTTTTAATCATGAAAACTGTATGTAATGATCTTAGAAGTTAGAAATAAGGAGTCAGATTAGAAAACAAATTTCTGCCAACCTGGGTAAGAGGTACATGAATGGCACCACACTTTTCTGTCGTAAAACCAAATCATGGTTAAACACTACCGCCACAAACGCTCCTTGAAACTCCTCCAAAGTTTGCATCGCCTGCAATGGTGACAAAAAAAACACAAACACACACACACATATATATAATCTGGAGTCGATTCCAGGCAATCAACCAAAACACCTTGCATCTGTTTGCTCAACATGTACAATTCACAAATAAAACACCCCAATGATATTGTGATGGAAAAGGAAGATGTTCGACACATCCAAGTAATTTTTCTGAGCAATTGTTGGATTAATAGCTTTTATTCTATTCCCTGGTTGAAGAAAACTCAAGTTAAAGACAAGTTAACATTTGTTGACTGCTGCAACTGCTATGTGAAGTTATGAGGAAACAATCCCATGTCCTTTCTGTCAGGAACACTCATGCAGAAATTACTATAATTAAAGCCATCTGACGATAAATACGGCGGAGAATGCTAACCATTTCAGGTGAATCTGTAAGAAGTGTTGCAACTTCGTTTGACACTCGGTCAAGCTGGGTGCCATCCTCCAGCCTCCAAATGAGAGATTGAAATAACTTCCCTACGTCTCGTATCTTCACATGTTCTGTCAATGCCCTGAACCAAGTCCAAACATCGGTCAGTCTTGGTTAACTACACCTCTCACCTGTAAACGTATTGGCAATCATGGACAGTCTACACTGTGCTCTAGTTCCGTGGTTCGTAATCAGCGAAGCAAACCTCACAAATAATCATTAGTCAGAAAAGGACCTCAAGCAAAATGCACTAGCAAGTCTAACCAGGAAGGTGAATACATCCTGGTCTTCTTGCTAACATGAGCCCCCTTATATCACTGTCTCCACTTAACTAAGAGCTTGACCTCGGCAGAAATTCTCTACGTCACGAGCTTAGTGCTTCACTCCTGCAAGTGAACGCCTACATGTGACGCTAAGTAGCAACAAAACTCTAATTCTAACCACCTGTACGGACAAGTCAACATCTAGCCACAATTAGGAAGACCCAGCCAACTCTCCCACTTAACCCTTTCAAACATCAATCGAAAATATTCACTTTCAAAAGAAAATAATAAGTGACTGAATAAAGTGTATTTGTTCGCAACAATACTCAATGCTCGGCATATTCTTCCTACACAACTCGCCACAACCTACCTGTCCTAGTGTTAAGGCAAACACTAAGCCCTCTACTCAACAATGCGGAGAAGGAGAAATCCGGCTACACAGAATCAAGAAGGGAGCATCTAAGGCGAAATTCTAAAATCGAGCCGACCACTAGTCATTATCTACACCCGCAAATTGATTCTCCGCCGCAATGATGCACTAAAACCCTATCCATAAACGCATATCAGGCATCTAAACCCTAGCGACCTGCCTCCCACGACCATTAACCCTCACAATCACTATCCAAACCCTCCTCATTCATACCACTGCACCCCTACAACTAAAGAACATTCTCCCACTACCATTCTAAACGACACACACCAAAATGAGCTCCCGACAACAAAACGAGGAAAGAAGAAAATAAAAGAAAATAAAAAGAGTGTAGGTAACGCAACATACCGTAAGGTTCGAAAGAGCTCCGTGGCTAACGGGATCTCATCGGAACTAAGCTCAACTTCGACAAACAGCTTCATCAATGCCAATGTGAGAGGGAATCCACTGAGGTGAATGATGAAGACAAATCCCTTGCAGTAACCAGAAAGAGGAATGAAAGGTGGCAGTAGAAAAGGATTCCAAGTAACAGCAAGGGAAGGAAAGTGGCAACAGCGAGAGGAGATGTGATCAAGAGGGGATCGTAACAGCAATGGATTGCGTCGCAAGAGACAGAGAGACAGAGAGAGCAAGCACGGCGAGAATGAGAGCGTGCGAGCGAGCGAGCGAGCACACCCCCCTTCACCCTCTCTTCTTCACCAGCATAAGCAGCACCGTCTCTCTGCGAGACTGGCTTAGTCATGACACACACCCCGTCCCTCCCTCCGATATATACCCGGAAGGAAAGCAGGTATTAGTCCCTGGGTATTATTTTGCTGACTGTGCAAGCCACGTAGACTCGAAAAGTTAAGGACTCAGGGGTGTTCGTTGGGTCTTGTGTCCTTGAGATGCTGACTATTCCTTGCATCGAATGCCACGTCGATGGTTGCGTACTGTTCGCGTCAGGCTCGTCCAAGTGTGATGTGTTAGATGTCTTGCCACGTCATCTGCAAACTCAGTGTTCATTAATTGTAACGGGGAATCTGCTTGTGAAGAATATAATCATGGAGATTTCAACCTTGTGTCATTGAAAAGTTTGTTTTTATTTTTATTTTTATTTAATTTATTTGTCGAAATATTGCGGTGAATCTATAATGTGAGGATCTAAAATATGGTTGTTAGAAAATTTAAACATTGCAAAGAAAAAAACAAAATAAACAATATAAAATAAAATAAGAACTCTACTTACAACAAAGAAATAGAAAGTGATTTCCTTTACAAATAAGGGAATGTTAATTAAACCCAAGTTTTTATTAAATCAACCTACCTATGATGAAGAATATGGTAATCATAATGAATGTAATTGTTTTTTCATTGGTTTCAAATACAGTTATTAAGAAATGAATCTAGAGGTCATTTTTTAAAAAAAAATAAAAAATAAAAATATAATGAAGGTTAGGATGAGTGGATAAATTTAGTAAAAACCTTAGTCTATTTATAATTCTTGTATAAATATTATAAATACTTGCATCCATATATATGATATAGATAGAATTTAAATCTCAATAAATATTTAAACATGATGAGTATTTCAAAAATAAGTAGAAATTTCATGATTTAATACATTCTCATAGTCATACAATATTTTTTAATTCTATAAAATAATTGTTTGTAAAAGCACTCTTGAATATTTTTTAAAAATAAAAATAAAAAAGTACGAAGTCACCAAAATTTAGTTTAAGTCTTTGAACAATATATTATTATTTGAATTGATAATTTAAATGAATAAATATAACTACACTTTGAGTTTGATTACCAATATATGTATGTATACATATATGTAAATATAATTTATATTCTCTTTATAATATTAATAACTAAAATAACATTACATCAATTTATATAATCTTGAAGATTATAAAATTTATTACAAATGAAAAAACTTTATAAAGAAGGATAAAAATCAATCTAAGCCTTGAATAACTTGATTAAATTTAATAAAATAATTTTTTTTTCATATTTTAGGTATTTTTCTATGATATATTGTTTATCTAAATAAAATTTATTTATTATTATTATTTTATAGATTTATTTCACTTTTTACAACAAAATAAAATAAAAAAATTATATAATTTTCATATTCAATTTTTAGTTTGAATATATTTTTAAATAAAATATAATTATTATTAATATCATATTATTTTTGTCAAAACTTAACTTAATTTGTCATATCATAAGGCCTTTGTCAACAATAAGAACTTAAAGAAGATATTTAAATAAGTGATACATGTATTAGAAAGAGATGACAAAATGATATGGACATACATATTTATTCCAATAATTACCTATACGATTATGTAGAAGTAAGTAAAAATAGACTATTTTCATAATATCTTATAAAGAAGCTTTTTAGAAGCTCCATAGATGTAATTTTGTTTTTACATTTATTTGTAGTTGATTGGTAGATTAAAAACTTAGTCAACAAGTTAGCCATATATTACACAAGTTGGTAGCTTATAGGACAAGCTAATCATGTGGTGCATATATAAAAAACTTGCCTTGCAAGTTAATGCATGTATCTTGTAAAGTCAACACGTATTGGTAGATTATAGAACAAGCTAACTATCGAGCGTATATATAAAAAACTTAACTTGCAAGTTAAAACATGTGTCTTGCAAAGTCAATACGTATTAAAGATCATATAGAACCTTGCTATATAGCTTCTAGTTAGAAAATATATATGGAGGTAAGAGTGAAGTCTTCTTTATGTTTGTCAACATCTTTCTTATTTGTAGTCTAATTTCAAGAGTCTATACTCTTCTTATCTCTGACAATAGGTATTTTAGTTTAATATTACATCATCTTTGAGTCATTTTTTAATCTTTTTAAGTGATACAAAGATGTATTGATCTTTTAGTTCTTTGAGATATATGTTTTGGATAATTTGACAAGACTGTTAATTCATTGTTCATATCTTCTTCTAGAAGTAAGTAGATTATGCCACTTCTATTCTTGTGTTTTGAAGGTTTTTAGCTATCTTTAAACAAACAGTTTAGCTTTCTAACACTGATTTTTTCCTTAAAAAGAGTATATCATCCCTCTTTGTAGAAATTTTTATTTGATATTAGAAGTTGTGGATTACCTTTTTTTAATTTGACTTGTGGATTTATTAAGTTTTTTAAAATAGAAGAAAAAATCATAAATGCTACACTTGGTAGAAGTGAGAATATATTTGCAACTATTGCAGATTTTCATGAACTTGTTAACAATCATAAGAAAAGAAATTTTAGGTATCATCAATGCCAACTATAGAAAGACTATTCTTACACCTATGAAAGAAGCCTAGAGTCTACGCCAAATTATGTAGTTGAAGGAAGCAAGTAGATAAGAATCACAACCAAATTCAAAAAGTCTTACTTCTACAAGCATGAAAGAAGCAAAGATTAGTATGCTTAAGAAGTTTGATGAAATAAGATCAAATTTTTGAAGATTTTTGTAATAAGTTAAGTTGTATAAGAGGTTGCATCTTTTCCAATATCTTGATGGATTTACTTAAGTTGGATTCATAGGTACATTTTTATTTGAAAATATTATTTTTTTATTTATATCTTTAATAAAAAAAATTCACAACTATTCTATATTTTGAATTCATTTTTGAAAGTATTTATAACAATATTTAGAAAAAAATGATCAAAGAATAGTAGAAAAAACCAAATTTATATGATTATGATAAAGATCACATTTAGTTACTATATATGCTACTGAATTCTAAAATCTTGCTTGTAATATGGATTGAAATGACAAAGCCCTTATTAATTAATTTTGATATGAATTGAAAGATAATATTAAATATTTATTATTGATAATACTAAAAATGGATTGATTAAAGTAATTTATTACTTAAGCCATTGAATGCAATAATTGATTCTTTAAAAGATGCTAAAAACAAAGATTTGATTGAAGAGATACAAGTCAAGCCATAGCAACACCTTCTAAGATTTTGGAAGCTTATTTGTTGAAGCCAAAGCTTATGTAAATTGACAACATTTGTTTTAAATAACTTATTGAGCAAAAAAAGACTTGTCATTGTCAAAAAAGTTTGTACTTATATTGTGGAAAATTCAAGTATATTATTCAATATTATTCAAAGAAATAAAATAATTATAATATAAAGAACATGGTTTCCAAATAAGATAATGTGTCAAAAAATGAGTTTTTCCAACTATAATAAGAACCATGCTGTTAAAATCTCATGTAACACCTAATAAAGGTCTTATTCTTTCCTCAAATCTTTTACCTTATTTTACAATAGACGTTTGTTTAGCACTAAGAATTACAAAGTCTTAGCCTTCTTAGATTCAAGAGTCTTAGCCTATTTTAGAGATAATGACTTTATTAATATATATATATATATATATATATATATATATAATTGAAAAAATCAAACTTGTGCATGAAGAAATAATAGATGGTCATTTGTTGTCTTCTAGAGATATTACACATGATATTGTTTCATTAGATGTAGCAATTAATAGTTATAATAGTCTAATAATATTTAATATAATTAGATTTTTTTAATCTAATTATTTTAGGATTGTCATGCATGCTACAAAAAAGAGATAGATATATATATATATATATATATATATATATATATTTCATATTTGTTGTTGATGGAGAAAAAATTTCAAGAAAAATTTCAAGCTAATACTAAGACGATCAAGGTATTATTTAGACATCTTAATCTATTCTTGGAACATATAAAAGGATGAAGTTCGTATTTATTATGTATTACAATAATTAAAAAATACAAGATTATATGCAAAGATGAAAAAGTTTATATTTCATACTACTCAAGTTGATTTCTTAGGATATATCATTTCAAACAATGGTCTTATGATTGATCCCAAGAAGGTCCAAACTATCATTGATTGGAAGATCTAAAAAATAATTAGAGATGTACAATGTTTTTTGAGATTTTTCAATTATTACCGAATCTTCATCAAGAAATTTTTTCAAGTTGTGGCTCCTCTTACATATCTGACATGTAAAGATGTAAATTAAAATAAACCTCTACTAATTGGAATTTTATTCTAGTTCACCACAAGTGAATTAATTATATAAATTTTAAAAGTCATAGCTATTAATTAAATTTTAATCAAATCACTTTTTATTCTTCTTAAATTATTCTAATCAATGAAATCAAAATTCTATTATTAACTTATATTTAGAAGAAATAAATCACTTGATAAATTCCATACAAAAAAAATATTTTTAATATGATTTTATTTATTTATTTATTTATTTATTATATTATTTTTATTTTGACTTAATTAAAATTCATCTATTTACAAAAATTTATCATTGAATAATATTTCATCTACATATTTCATTTAAATTTAAAAATTCATCTTTGATTAAAAAATTTATCTAAATTATTTCATCTAAAAAAATCCTAATTCAATCTAATCTTACTTTCAATCTACCACAATTATCTACTTCATTTTCATCTAGTATGATTTAGTTCTAATTTTAATAGATCCAGATTTCACAAAGACCTTCTATTTAAAAATTAATGCTTGTGGCATTACATTAAAAGTTATATTATCATAGATGAAAAAAGATAGAAAGCTCAACCCAATTGTGTTTTATTCTAGAAAGTTTTTAGCTATAGAAATCAATTATGAGATTCATAATAAAGAGCTTCTTACAATTGTAGATTCTTTCCAAAAATGGCATTACTTGTTGGAAGGCA